ACATCAGTGTATTTTATATCATTACACCAGCTCATGAGCATCTAGCCACCAACACAAGAACCAAGTCAGCTGATTGATGTAAACACTAAGGCTGTCAATTAGCACATCCCTTGTGTCCATGAATATGCAGTCAATGCAATCAGGAAGTATGGATCAAATGTCAGCCAGTTTCCTGAGGCCCATTCACGTTGAACTAGGAGTGGGCGATATGACGATATTAGATCGTGAAGGATTACAACGTGAAGACGATCTATCAAACTGCAGAGATCGTGGGATCGTCTAGGGCACATTCTATAAATTGCAGTTCTATGCTGATGCACCGACGCACCAGACGTATTGACGTCGTCAACCTGACCGACCAATCATAGCGAATTACGGGCAGTGACGCACTTTCCTACCCGCCTCCTTGTTTATGTGTGTATCGGTAGCACATGGAGAGCGATGGCTGAAAGCCAAACGGAGTTGGTCGCTAAAAAAAATTCCACCTCCATTATATGGAATTGGTTTGGATTTTCCGCAACTGATCAAGCGCAAGCAAATGCAATTTGCAAAGTTTGCACAGAAACCGTTCGCACGTCGGGTGGTAACATGACAAACCAGAATGTTGTTGTTGTTTACCTTAAACTTTACGTTGTTTGCACTATTTGAAATAAAATCTGTTAAGAAAGGTTCTTTGGTCTAAATTGTCTGTTTTTCTTTTTCCAATTTAAGATCATGATAAAATCGAAATCGTGATTTTATTTTTAAAAAATCGTGATATGATATTTTTGCCATATCGCCCACCCCTACGTTGAACTTAAGTGGATGTATAGGGAAAAAGCTGAAAAACACATAGCAGGAAACAGAGCTCAAGGACACCAAAGTGTGAAATCGAAGCATTAGTTCTTCATTATCTTTTTCATCTTGATAGTGCTTTGTGTTTTATAGTTGCCTTTTCTGTTTTTTTTTTTTTTTTAGAAGCAATAGGTTAGATAAAAAAAAGTACATATACCACCTACATCACCATACATAGGATGCCTCTCCACAAAAGAACATTTTTTTGTTTTTGTTTGTACATGGAGTTTGTTCATGGAGAAAAACTCATAAGTAGGGCTTTTTTCACGTCATCAAAATTTAGACTTATAATAAAAGACACTGTCTATTTTTGTTCAAGTGATAACAGTGACAATAGGTGTTTTTCATTACATGGTGACAAATGAACACCATAAGATGTTGCCTCTGGGTTTGTGTCACAACTCAAAGAGGTACCATATTTGCCACTGGGGTTCTGGGCTCCTGTTGAGGAAAGCCATTTGTGTATTTTCAACATCTGATCTAATCTCATCAACCAATCTAATTTAGTTTCTTAACAACAAATGAAAACAATCTGCCATTGAGGGGATATACACTCACACTTGAAATTTGGGATGTAGGCCCATCTTGTGTCTGTGTTAAAATAATAAATGTACAGTGGGGAAGAACTTTTTGGTCTTGGCCTTGAGGTCAGATTTAAGTATACAGCAGCACCCCTAGATGTGATAGACACTCATTGTCTGGCTGATTGACAGGTACTCTAGGTTCTGCTGGTGTAGGATACTTTCTATGCTCACAGTGTTGTCTTACATGTAACATGAATTATGAAAATTGTGTGAATCATATCCTATGGCCTCCACAGTCACCAGATCTCAACCCAATTGAACATCTGTGGGAGATTTTGGACCAATGTGTTAGACAGTGCTCTCCACCATCATCATCAAAACACCAAATGAGGGAATATATTTTGGAAGAAGGTGTTCATCCCTCTAGTGGAGTTCAGAGACTCAAGGAATGAAAGCCAATGAACACTGAAGCTATTCTGGCAGCATGTGGTGGCACAAGACTTTACTAAGACTCTTTACGTTGGTTTTCCCTTTCATTTGTCAGCCGTCTGTATTTGATGTGATCTGCACTAAACCACACCCAACCAACTTTTATTCTCTGATGATGAGAAAATCAAATTCGTAACAGTTACAGTAATTTAAAACCCTCCCGGCCCCTGCTCTGTTACAGGGAGGATAAGTATAATTCAATGTCTTCCCTTCTCATCAGCACTACTCTATGAGGCAACTGCTGGGCCAGCTCATCATGGCAACTCTTTGGACTGTCGTCAGCACTCCATCCTGTGAATGCCTGCCAGCAGCCCCTCCATGCGATCAATAGGCACCGGCGGCTAGCTTTCCCCCCTTTGCTCTCTCTCCCTGTCTTTCTCTCCCTCTCTCGGCTACCACAGTATAAAGACTGTTCTGTTCTGCTGGTGCAGCATAGTGATTAGGCATTAGGCCTGTGCTGCTGTGTGAATTAGCTTAATCTGTGTCCATGATGAAGGACAAGGCGTTTCATGCCCACTGGAGACATTCAGTGGACATAAAAGAAGCTAATCTGTAGGAAATTTAGAGAGGGTGTGTGTGTGTGTGTGTGTGTGTGTGTGTGTGTGTGTGTGTGTGTGTGTGTGTGTGTGTGTGTGTGTGTGTGTGTGTGTGTGTGTGTGAGACAAAAATAGTTGACACAGTTCCCACAGTGATTGGTCTTTTGTAATGCTGCTTATCCTTCAACAACAAAAAAAAAATCTATTGAAGTTTTGAAGATGTTATACTGTCATCACTTAAAGTACTGGAAAAGTGGATAACATGCTGATTTAAACAGACTGAGCAGTGGTTGTCTGTGGAGGACATGGGAGGTAGGAAGAAAATCTATATCCCCATATTCCTACACCAGAGGTCAGTTTAAGGGGAATTAGAGGGGATTGTATTCTTATTGTTACACAGCTGCTTACCTGGCCACAGAGGATGCTGCTTAAACTACAAATCTCAACCCAAAGTTTTATTTTTTTAGAGCAACATGGACCAAAAGACAAAGGCTTTAGTGTGAGCATACACTACTACACTTTCCTTCTCTATACATCTGTGCCTCTGTTGTCCATCATGCACCTGTGCTGACATGCAGTAGGCTGAACATGAACGCACAACATGTTTAACAGCAGCCCAGCCCTCCTCCTCTTCTCCCTAACATCATCTGCTGGATATATTGTACGCCCTTGACAAACTGCCAGCACACAATCCCCCTCCTGCAAATGTCTATTGATCAAAGCACAAGTACGGCTGTGGGAAAGTAATGTAGTCTTATCCATATTCTTTCCCTTGTATCACCTCTCATACCCCAGAACAATACAGACAACAGGAAATTCCATACAACTTAATAGGTATCATCATGCAATGAGATTTATAAACAACTGAGGCACAGAATTCGGTCCACAAATTAATCATGTACCATCATATATAGTAACATCATGTCCAGATTTTTTTAAGTACATAATAACAACCATTCTGGTTGTGAATGGAGCTGTCAAAACAAAATAATAGTCATTTAGTGAGGAAGAGCAACCATACCCCCTTTGTTTACATGGCGCCTTTCGCCCCTTTAGACCACTTTTACGCACAACCAATGGTGAATTAGGGTCAGCAGTCAGCTGGAGCCAAATATCTGTTGTGCTGGGTAATCCGAGCACAGTCAGACGCTTGTTTCTGAGAGGAGCTGCGCAGCAAGCTTGTTATCAAAAGAAGGGCAACGGTTTTAAATCAGCAGTTTCCCAAAACCATCCAGCATGCATGATCCAGAAGTCATGTTCACATTTCTGAACATGCGTCTCCAAATCGCAAGAGCACGTCCCATTCTGATAAAACACAAGGGGCCAAAAACACAGGCGTTTGAAGACATGTCACCTTGTCCATCTCTGCCCAGTTATGGTAAGTGTAAATCAGGTAAAAATAACGCGATGACTTACCGAAATGAGATCCTGGCCACTGTCAGCGACCGGCTTCCCCTCGTTTCCCTTCTGTACCTGGTCCGCTTCTCTTTCAAGTCAATCCGCAGTGTGCTCAGATCAGAACGGAGCGGTGCGCCTTTTCACTGTGTCCTGCGTCCAGAGTTACCGAGGATGGAGCGACCATTTGTCGGGATGCTGGGACGGGGGTGCAAGGCTGAGGCAGGGACTAGGAGAAGGATGTGGAAGAGATGGAGGAGGAAGTGGAGGAGGAGGAAGAGACTAGGCGCTGGGTAAGAAAGCGAGAAAGAAAGAAAGAAAGAAAGAAGAGAGAGAGGGGAGAGAGCAGCAAAGCACTGCAACGACGGGGAGGCAACACCATCAGAAAGAGGAAGACAGTAGCTCTGTCTACCTCCCGCACTCACTCGCTCAAATGCGCGCGCGCGCGCGCAATATCGCCATCATACAAAGATATGGAGCGCCATCTTCAGGTGTTGTGTAATAGAAAGAGATTGGGTGTTGTCTCATATATGTAGATATTCACATTGCGATTTATTTGCCATTTTGACAAACCTCTGGAATGTCAGTTTAGCTCCATGGGGAACACCCTCAATTTTTGCTGTGACTCTATTTGATCCTACAGCTGAATAAGTGCTGCATTTTACTGCTGTGTGCTTAGCATGTGAGCGTGCCATTTAAGTGTCTTATAGAAAGTCATCTATGGCACTAATTATTCCATTGTAACAACCTCCCTATCACACACACAAGCATTCATTTATTTCCTTGAGACCTTAAACATGAACATGTAATAATAATCAGTATATGCCCAACCCCAACTCTCACCTAACCATTTATATTAATATCTTATGTAGCGTTATGTACATGTACCAGCACGGTACCGTTAATAAGTAAGCCAAGTAATCCTTTTTCATTCATCCAATATGATCACTCTATTTCAAAAACATAAGTATAATATATGTGAATGCATTTGTCTCTGGTATTTGGAGCACATGTGCTCTCTTGTATATAACTGTCACTCTCACAACAGTTGTGGGGCAGCTTGCATTATAATCTGCACAGCATAAATAGCATATTTAACTACCCAAATGTTGTGTTATTACAGTGATGGGATAGAAGAAATGCTGCAGAGGTAAAAAAAAAAAAAAACACACAATGATGAGCAACCAACAACTGGGTATTTAATATTTGTATTTGTCCAGACTGGAAATGGATGGAGAAGACACAATAAGTAAATAAATAAATAAACAAGGAAGGGAAGAACATAAAGCACTAGTATGTTCACCTTTTTTGCTCAGTTGCAAGAATTAAATATACATTACATAATTGACAATTAAGGTATAAATATGTTTTTATCTGTATTATTTGTGTTATATTTTCATTTAATAACAATAGAAGTTTAACACATTTTTGAAAGAAACAGCTGTGTATGTGGTTGACCCAAATTTGTTTATGAATAGTTGACAACAACATTCGGCTTGAGGTTTCTAATTATAACAAGAATACTTCCAAGTCACTGTTTCATTATTGTCTTATCACAGCTAAGCCAAAAAAGAAAAAGAGAAGGAAAGACATGTTACTGTAGCATTTACTCTTACAGTGGATACAAACACTTTGTCCTGGTAACAGTTTCTGCCATCATAAACAGTAGCCCTGGGTTTAGAGATTCTGATTTCTTAGTATAATCCAGTAAACCTGTAGAAAGAAAAGATAAATGTTTTCATATGTTCACAAAATTGAAGCAGATTTAATTAATTTGGGTGGCCTATGTAAAAGTTAGACTATATTTTACTTGATTTCAACAAAGCATATTATTTTCAAAAGTGTGGAAGAACTGATGGTCAATTTATTAATTTAAGATTTCCTTGTCTTATCTTATTTTTTCTGTGTAAAGCCTGGTGTTTGTTTTAATAAATGTTAAAAAAAAATTTAAAAAGTATAGCACACTGACATGTCTGAATTTCTATTCAGCTTTGTTTGTGTACACTGGAATCTTCAACATGCTCATAACATACTGTAGGTAAATTGTGAATTGTGTTTGTTTTTTTTTCATTGTGGCTCTCAACAATAATAGAATGAATGTAACTAGCTTTCTGTGTCGCTTTATAAACAATTCAAAATACAGATATCCTTAGTGGCATGGATTCCACAAGATGTTGGAGAACATTCCTATCCTTAGAAAGGAATACGAGCAAATCAATATTGGTGGGAATAGTGACAGAGCAGCATTTGCCCTTCCCACATTACCACTGCGAAGATGCCCTTGAGCAAGGTACTATAATCCATGACTGCTCTAGGTGGCATTGCTCATGCTCAGTGACCAGCGGATTTGTTTATACTGGGCAGCTTGCAAGTATGAATAGAGCTTGCACCTGAAAAAGATTGTGATTTTTTCTGATAAGTGATAAGATTTTAGAAAAAATGATATTACCATATTTGGAGCTATACTATATTATCTATTGCCAGAGCAATACTGACACTGTTGAAAAGTGACTGCTGGGGAATGCCCAGCAATCAAGATTCTCATTAATTATCATCATTCATCTGTATTTCAGCAGGTTTTGCAGTCTGCTACTGCCTGTCTATATTGTTTTTTCTTATTTTCCTGCACTGCAATGTCATAGAAGTGTTTGTATTTGATGTTTTTGTATTGCACATATGAACAAAGCAGACATATTTCACTTTATTACCCCATCATCCAATACTGTAATAGCATTACAGCCAAAAGGGAATTTGAAAGATAAATTCTAATATCTTTCCCATATTGCAAATGAATTGAGTTAATCTTTTGTATATCTCTGCCTGCTGTTTACCAGCTTGTTTACAGACTGGGAACAGATTTTTAATAAACTTCATAAAAGTCAGTGAAAGTGGAGTGTAGTGAGGTCAATTTAAGTTTGACCCAATGAAAGCTGTTTTAACTTATGTAATTTTCTGGTTCTATGTGTACTGATGCACTTTAGTAGGAACACCTGTACACCTGCTTATTCATACAGTTATACAGCCAACCAATCATGTGGGAGCAGTGCAATGCATGCAGAATCATGCGGATACAGGTCAGGAGCTTAAGCATCAAAACATTGTGATCTTACTGACCTTAATCGCAAGCTGGTTTGAGTATTTGTGAAACTTCTGATCTCCTGGGATTTTCAGTGTCTTCAGGGTTTACTCAGAAGCCGGAAAACAAAACCCATACAGTGGGTTTTGTTTTTTGTACCCAGCGCCACAGTTCTGCATACAGAAACATCCTGTTGATGAGAGAGGTCAGAAGATAACAGTCTCGTTTGAGCTGACAGTCAAGTCAAGTCAATTTTTATCTGTATAGCACCAATTCACAACATACGTTATCTCAAGGCACTTTCCAAATAGAGCAGGTCTAGACCTTCTCTTTATATTAATATTTACAGAGACCCAACAATTCCCACCAAGAGTACGCACTAGGTGACAGTGGTAAGGAAAAACTTCCTTTTAAGAGGCAGAAACCTCGAGCAGAACCGGACTCAGGGTGAGCAGCCATCTGTCTCAGCCAGTTGAGTTGAAGAGAGAGAGAGGGAGAGAGAGAGAGAGAGAGAGAGCAGGAGAGAGCACAGAGGAAAAGAACAAGAACGTACAGTGAAAACAATATTAATAATAGTGACAGTAGCTGCAGTAACAGCAATAGCAATGTATTGGCAACTGTAGTGGTCCTATTGATAAAAATAGTAATGACAGCTAATAACATTAATAATAATCATTATTAATCATAGTAAATTTTAGCAGGTTTAGCAGCAGGTGTTAAACAGGATCGTGGGGGCAATAAGTGGTTTGTGGTTGCAGGTCCAGACTCTACAGCTCTGGAGGCGGGAGGACCTGCAGAGAGTAACAGGGAGGAGATAGAGAAGGAGAACTGAGAGAGAGAGGCACACAGCCTGGGCGCTTCATGTGCTTGAGAAAGGCTTTGGTAACTCAGATAACCACTCTTTACAATTGTGGAGAGCAGGAAAGCATTACTGAAAGTACAACATGTAAAACCTTGAGGCAGATGGTCTACAACAGCAGAAGACCATGTCAGGTTGAAGCCTAGAAAAGTGTAGTCTGGTCTGATGAATCTCTATTTCTGCTGAGCCACACAGATAGTATGGTCAGAAATTTTTTATCATGCCAGCATGATAATGCTGGCAGTAACCATGTCACAAAGCTAAGGTCATCTCAAACTGGTTTTATACAAATTAATGAGTTCAGTGTTACTTGTGGCCTCCCCTGTCACCAGATCTGCATCCAGTAGAACACCTTTGGGATGTGGGAGATTCACAGCATAAAAGTGCAGCAGTGTGATGCAATCATGTCAACATGGAGCAGAATCTCAAATGAATGTTTCCAACATCAACATGTGGAATCATGCCACAAATAATTTACCATAATCTACCCAGTGTGCTCAGCTTGAGTGTATTTAAGGTGTGTGTGCACATGCATAGTTGAAAAATCACCACTAGATGGTGCCACTGAGCTGAGATATGACTTGTTGCCCAAATCAGGTGATAAAACCATTCAGAATCAAGTGCACCTCCATTAAGCTCTATCAAAATGAAAGCTATTCATCAATATATTTTTCAAGTGAAACAAAAACTGGTTAAAATACAGGTGATGTGCAAACCTCATTTTTCATTCTTCTATTTGTAGAAGTCACAGAAACTGATGCTTTTGATTATGTTTTTTCTTAAACTTGTGATAAAGACATTGTGAAGTCCACTTGGTGAAAATCATTGGTTAAAGTTATGTTTTGTTCCTGTGTTTATGGAAAGTTTTCACAACTTTGATTACTTGATTTGGTCACTCCACACTCACCCTCAAACAGACTCACAGAAGTTGCACCCTTCATTTAACACTGGGTTTGTAAAAAACAAAGTAAACAAGTCACAATACATTGCTTCTTTTATTTGTGCAGAAAATGTGGAAAAAGTTGATGTTACAGCATCTGGTGAGGAAAACATAGTCTGGTTTTATTTATGCATCGACGACTCACAGATTACACAGCAGCATAATGAAGCATCAGTAGACTGAAGAACTCAGACAGCATGTGTGCAGAAGGGTGCATATGAAACAGCTTATAAGGGGAGCATTTTCTGAGGCTGGAAAGGCTACTGACAAAGGTGGTGACGAACTATCTCACAGGCATCACTTCATTTAATGAGTGTTAAGCATCAAACAGCAAGGAAAAAAGATAATTTAAACGAACCGTGGGGTGAATGTAACGTTACAGCTACATGTCATTATTGAATATCTCTTTTCAAAACCATGGTCAGTAACCACTCTTCTTGTTTCAGACTTTCCACCAGAGTTTGGAGTCTGGTTGCAGAGATTTCTTGCCAGTCATAAGAGCACTCGGGCCGGGCTCACAGTCGGTGATCCAATTGGATGGGGTTGACGTTAGGACTCCATTTCTTTATGGACTTGACTTTGTGCAATGAGACATTGTTATGTTGCAATAGCAAAGGGCTTTCTACAAGCTGTTGCCAAAAATTAAGTTGGGATTATTTAAAATATAATTTTATAATGTGACACATATGTGGGTGTATGTGCTAATTTTGGCCATATGGTTTTAGGTTTTGAATGTGTGGAAATAGGTATGACACTGCATGACTGTGCTGTGTGTTATATAAAAGATGTCATGTGTCATTAGAGAAAGCTAATGATCATGTCACAAATTCAAATGGAAAGTTCACAGCTCACATCACACAACACTGGACTTAAGTAAGTAAGCTACGCAAATACATTTATATAGAGGTTATATCAGAGGTTATCTGTACATATAAAAATCATATGCACATACTGTATCAGAGTAGTATTATTATGGTGAGAACTTGAACAAACATGTAATATACAGTATGGTAAAGAAAACACACAAGATGACACTTTCAGTCATACTTGCCATTAGTATTGCCATATTTGCAATGAAATGTGTGATATTACACAAGTCACAAATTCCTGTTTTTCATTCTCGTTTTTGTCACCCTGAACATCTGTTTAAACCTTCCCATTCATAAAATGTATTGCAACACAGTTTACAAGAAATGTTCTCAGCAAATGTAGTTTTCACTCAAGAATATTGAGCAACAGTCTATTCCAGTATGTTTCAAAGTCACACCCTTGTGTCATACAGTATGTGGGTGTGTACACAAAGCAAAAAAAATTTAATTACAAAATGCAAATTGAACAAATGACCAAACATCATGTTTTTGCTATTTGTCAGACCAATTAGCGAGATTATTTGTGTTCTTTATCTGTAATTCCTGGCCACAAAATTTCATCAGTAGTCATCAGGAGAGATAAACAAACATACAGGGTGTCTATCAGTAATGCAGTAACACTTATGTAACTGAATAAAATAATGTGTAACAAGTCACATATAGCAATAACAGGCCATGTGATGTCATCAGCTCTTAAGGATGCTATTCACTTAGCATGTAGCCTTACGATAAATCAAATAATTAGAGGTGTATGACTTGCTGGTGAACAAAGAAGGGAGACACACCCAAAATTGGCAATAATGAATTGATATTTATTTTTGAAAATAATAATAACAAATGCAGTGAGATAGTTAGAATCGTACTGCTTCGTATTAGACAATATCTTCAGGTTCAGACAGTTTGGGATGAAAATTAATTAAGGATTATCTTAAAGTTATTGTTGAATCACCGCTAATGGTCTACAACTTTGACAGTGTGTAACCACACAGAGTAAAAGCAAAAAAGGTGACAAAATAGTCACTGTGATGGATTTGCTCTCTCAAGCAGGTTTCGTATTGTGAAACCATGAAGCCAAAGTGACTGCCTGGATGGAGGGAAAATCACATTAATATGGCCAGTATGTTACAGTAAGATACACAATTTGTTGGAAAAGAGCTAAAATAAACCAAAGCACTGGTGTAATCATTTAAATTGGCCCAACACAGAAAATACAACACAAACAGCTGGCTAAGAATCCATTATGTTATGACAACATGAAAGAAATGTAATGGAGTACTGCACGTGTCTGAACTGTAACCAATCCTTTTAAGGAGGAGACCTTTTCTCCTTGAAATCATCCACTCCCCACAGAAAGACCTGTTAGACATCAGCAGTTGTCATCAACAGTTCCTTCACCACTACAGTCTTTTGATCTGGTTTGAAAAAAAACAACTCAAAACAACCAGAGCCGCCCCCTTGCCCGCCTCTGCAATTTTTTCAAAACTACCAACATTCCTGTGATTAATTAAATCAGCTCCAGTATTTGTCACCTGAAAGTGCTGAGCACAACACATTTTTGTCTTTGCTGTTTGGTGTAACTTGGTTTCTTTCATTTCATAATTTGCTGTTAGTGCCTTCGTGAATCCTGGTCTATCCTATGTAGAGTCCGTGTCATTTACAGTGTATCTAAAAAGAAGACACAAAGTCTTGTACAGTAAAGCATGTATGATGTGTTAGACAACCTAAAAAGACATGACTTCATTCCTGTCAGCACACGGCAAACCTCACCCCTCTAGAGCACCACAGCAGTCACAACAAACATTAATGATCATTTGTAATGTTTAATGCACTTGTTCAACTATCTGATGTGAAACTGGGAAAGTTTGCATCAGCACATAGATGACAAACATGGACTATCAAAGTGAAAGAAATGCAAACACCTCTGATGTTCTCAGTGCACCTAACACATAGTTGGTAAGTGAATCACAACATACCAGGAAACAAGAGGAATCCTGCTCTGAAACATAATCTGTGTTTGATTGCTGTTGTCACGGTTACCCTGGTCTCATTCTGAGTCCCACGATGCAATGCTTCCTGGCACCATTGTCATGTTTTGATGGATGTGTTTAATTATTGCAGACTCCAATACTGTAAGACACACACGCACACGCACGTAAACACACACACACACACACACACACACACACACACACACACACACACACACACATTACTATGTATAATACTTTTACAGTGCACATTTGAATCATTTATTATTGCTGCTGCAATAATAAATGATTCAAACTCTGTATACGTGTCACATGTCACATGTCACTTTGATTTAAGGACATAGGTAGCAGCACTTTCTTCAAATATATCTCCTCCAAACTATGGGCAATAATGCAGCATAGATCAAATACGACATGTGTTTTCTGCTCTCACAAAGAAAAAAGAAAACAAAAACCAGAAATGTAGATAGACTATACTTACTCTCATTTAGCTGTTAACAACTGTCACATACTTGGTTATTTAAAGTGATTTATTTGCACAGGAACTATTCATGTTAGCAGAAGGAGGAATAAGTTAGTGACAGTCATGGGACTTGGTTTTAGGGTCCAAGTCAAATGAGCTAAACTTTTATTTTACTGACCAAACTACTGAAGAGTATTATGACAACTTTTTCTGACTAATTCAGGCTGTCTATGTTGTACAACTGTCACATTCACATTCCAACAGTGGCCCATGTAGCAAAGTAAACATGATCTGTACTCAGATATGGAGCAGATGGACTCTACCGAATATCTTTTCTGTTGTAAGTGCACCACATCTTGATATAAACGTACATTCAAAAGCTCTTAAATCATAATGAGAGTCTTTGTAAAAGGCAGGTACATAAAAAAGGTGAAAATTGATAATATCTACATAGATAATGACATCATTGGACAAGGGCACTTCATTTTTCACACAACTACACCCTGTCATTTGCTGAAAGGATCACTAAGAAAGTGAGTGTCCAGGACCAGCTGTGACAACAGACATGTTTTAAAATGTTACTGCATCGGATACACAACTGTATGTTATGAAATAAAAAATCTTTTTAATGTGACATATCATGCACTGCTTTGTAACTTGATTATTTCCGAATATTTATAAAATCAGTACCAGAAATTTACTTCCTGCCCCCTATGCAAAGGAGAAAATTGAGATACAATCACAAATGGTTAGCACAGAATTCCATGGCTTGAGATCAGATTCTGAGGGAGGTGTGGTCTGTTTTCTGTCAACACAGTAGCATCCAAACGTTTAACTCTCACCACTGTATGTTTTTCCCCTTACCTTAACCTGAAATGAATCTTCACCTTACCCCTAAACTAGCTGTCTTATGATGCTCAACCAGAGTTACCTCTGCCTGCTCTCAAGCCTTTGAATCTAATGTTGAGCAACCACAATGTGAGACCGTGGATGGTGAGAGTAAATGAATGAATGAATGAATGAATGAATGAATGTGAATCCAACTGTCAATGAGTGAGTGTTAGAGAGATGAGCTTGTGTGACCAGATGATTCATCCTCAGAACACCACATCTAGAGCAGCGTTTAATGCGCTCATGTTCATCTATGTGGAATAGACAAGATTTTGCTTAAATAGAGCATTTGAGTGAGTGAATGACTGGTTCAACACGAGCCTTGAGCCATGACCTGCACCTGTGTATCTATATGCAAAACTGCCCCCACCACATGAGTCGCAAAACAACGCGTAATGGTTTAAACGCTGGTTGTCTCTATCCATCACAGTGATGCCAGGACATATTAGCCTTAAGACGAGTAAAGTGAAACCGCTGCTAAGTGAGGACGGAAGTAAAATCACATGCTGTGGTTGCAGAACTGAGATACGCAGGACGTGGGAAAGGACTGTATTCTTTGCGCTCAAAAGCCACCAGAACCGCGGGTATAGTGACAGGACGACCGCGTTTGTTTTCTATGTGTAAAGCCAGACAAACGGAGCACCTAAGCCGCAATGAAGACACACGTGAGAGTGTGTGTTTCCAGCTCCAGCCCGCGGTGAATATGAATGAAGAATGACCAATGGTAAGTAAAGAAAACGTACTGGATGTACGTGAACTCAAGTGGCCTAAAGTGGTGACGCACTGAATTAAACTGACGTTAAAGGAACCAGATTCGAGCCGAACTGAAGCCGAAGTGTGGTCAGTGTTAGTGCGGCGGTAATAAAGCCCATATGCAAAGTCTGTGGCATGTAAAGCAGAGTAGTAAGGCGAATTCGAAACTTACCGGGAGCTGACTACACGCGCATCCGTCCCTCTGCCTTCCCAGCCGAGCGACTGGCTGATATGCTGTATGTTGGCTGAAAGGCTTTTCCAAACAGGGGAATTCCGTGTGAATAACTTCCCATCTGCCATTCAGAAGGAAACTGAAATAGGTTTAGGATTTACGGGAATTGACCTATGACTTACAAGAAGTGACAAACTCATGCAGGGCTGTAGGACCACTTCAGTGAATGTTTTAAGTTCAGTGACAGGTTAGATATTCAGATAATCCTTCAGTCATGCAAAACCACCAATACGAAGATGTAAAAACTACTACTAGCCTACTACACTGCAAGCCCTGCAGACAATATTTTACATGGGTAAATGTACAGAAGTATAAAAAAGGGTAAAAGGAAACAGTTAAATTACCAGGCTACTCCTTTCAAAGTGTGGATTTTAATTGCCAAGATATTTAATGTAAGCAGCATTATAAATAGAGTATGAGTGTTAAGGTGTAGCTAAGGTTAAGGTGTAGCTATTGCCAGTTACTTTATACACTGTATGGTAGTTCATCTATAACCATGCAACACGTTTTATTTAAGTTATTATTATGCATTACTTAACTAGCTATAGCTATCAAATAGTAGTGGAGCAAAAAAGTGCTAAACCATTTCCCCCTGAAATGTGAAGTTTAAAGTAGCACTGGATGAAAATACTAAGATAAAGTAAAAGGGTAGTACCTCAAAACTGCAGTTTAAAGCATGTACTTTCCATTAATGGGCTTATATGTGACAATTTGACATTCCTATAGGTAATATTTCTGCCTCATGGAAGCTTATTCTAATTACAGTAGCTGGGATGTATTGTTCTGCTGTTTTAGGTTTTGTAGTGTTTTTTCTTTTTTTTAATGAAGTGCATGGTCACACTAGGAGACATTTGAGTTCCTTGAGAAAATGTATAAAATATTGTAATTTCCCTTTGGTTGTTATTCAGGCCAACGTTATAAAATAAATAAGAATGGTCTCAGTAATGGAGTGAAAGATTTAGACTGCTTTGATTCTCTGCAGAGCACAGTAACAAATGTGTTTTAAAATAAATTGATATTTGGAGAGTTATTGGGGTTCCTTAAATGAAAAATGTCCATATGTAATATATTCAAACATATTTCAGAATAGATGACTAACCCCTCTGTCCCTCTCTCTCCCTGTATCTCTCACTGTGACCGTAAACTCTCAGCCTCTTTTTTGCATCAGTCTCTTTGCTCTTCTGCTTCTACCTCTATCCCTGTCCTGTGACAGCATAAGGCCTCCTGAAGAAGTTCGCAACGATTATAGGGAAATCGTGCAAATTGAGCTCGACAACACAGTAAGACACAAATTCTATTTACTTATTTATCTTCCCACACTACACTCAGGGGCAATAGACTTTTATTGTCCTTCAGTAAGAAGCAAGCTTTACAGGTGAGTAATGACAGCTCAATCAGTTTAATCAAATGTATATTGTATGTATTTCACAGCATGGAATAGATTGACTGTACAAAATAACTTTAGGAATTGCACTGATAAATTCAACAGAGGGAAACTAAGAATCCTTTAATGAGATATAAATACTGTAAAGGGAAGCAAACAAGTTAAAGCGGCACTTTAAAGAGAGCTGAGACCCTGGACATGAGGATTGTGCAAAAACAGTTGCAACCTAATATAAGATATTAAATCTTAACCATTTTCTGTGCATGCACTATACAGTTTCATTGAAATGCCCCAGTACGAAAGGTGCAGCCAGTCATACAAGGAAACTAAAGCAAAACAAGGAAACAAGCTTGTTTGCAGGTTTGCATGATGTCAAAAAAAGAAAAGAAAAGACAAAAAAAACGCTTAGCCTACAGTGTAAAAAATTACTGAATGAAAAATGGCACATCAATGTCGGGATTTAAACCAGTGGTTTTTGGAAATTGGTCATTATATACTGTACTTAAAAGTTCAAATAGGTGCAAAATAATTATTTGCTTTTGTGTAAACCTCGAGAGCTTGACAGAAGACTTTGTTGCATGTCTAGGCACTTTTAGGTTTGTTTGTTTCCTGTATGGGGACCCATTCCCACTGGGTGCAACTAGGAGTTGTAAATATGGTGTGTCGCAATTTTTATATAACCAAAGATACAACCTTCCACCTTCAAAATAATCTAAAACATGCTTTGAAAGATACAAAATATTTACAAAGACTTAAATCTACCTCCCCCATGAACGCTTGATTTGGTCCGTCTGCAAAATCTTCAGTTGTATTACTAACATTGACCACTGTCATTCTCATTCATTCAAGAACGGAAGTATCATGGCCTTGTTGCACAACTCATCCTGCCCAGAACTGAAACGCAAGCTACGTCGCTGCACATCAGACACTGCAGTGAGTAATGATTATTTTGTAGCTGTCAGCAAAAATGTTGATCATACCTTTTGCTTTTGTTGATTATTTGGGCCTTTTTTGATGTATGTCCTTCCTCTTGTTATATCATTTAGTAATGTTTTAGTTCCTGAAACGTTAACAAAAATATATATAGTGGGAGTAAGTGACCATGAAAACAGAGACCCTGCCTCTGCTCTTCATTTGATATCTACTGTGCATACACAGCTATATGCAACAGCATCTCTATTTCCACAACTTCTTAATGGGGATGGGTAATTCCAACAAGCTCCTTTGTGATGGATCTGTTGAAAGCAACATCTCTCACAAGGAACAACCACCCATCAACCTTTGGCCAACTGCACAATGCACTACTTTCTACAGAGTCAGCTGTTGCATTATCATTATGATGCATAGCACCAGACCAAAGGTGGTTGACTATGCTATTGAAAATGGGTTTTAATTTTTTGAGGTAACTGAGGATAAACACTGTATTATTTAACTGTTTCATAGGACTCACATAGGTCTATTCTGCAGAATGTCGTGAGCACCCTGCACTTCCTAACCTGCAAAATGAAGAATTTAAGGTTTTCCCACACAGACGGACTGGCCATGTCTGTCATAAACTCAATACGCTGCCCTTGTCTTGGGAAACCGGTAAGTGTAGCCACATTATTTGGTTATTTCTCGAATGAAACGTAGGGTTAGGGCCTGCAGCTCGCTGACAAACCCAAGTAACTAATTCTTTCAGTTTCTCTGTGTAAGATTTTGGCACACTCTTAACAAAGACTGGAATTTTGGCACACTGTAGTGTTTCCTTCTGCCACATAGTGGGTGACTCACTGATTGCTTACATAGCCAGTTGGCTGTGTGAGCGTATCCAAACATGAGCCTATTTGTTTCTTGAACTAGTTAACTTAGAGCCAGGCAGAGGCAAGCTACAGCAGAAAGTATATGTGCAAAAGTTATTCAAGGTTTTTTTTGGTTACTCTGGCTGCATTTTGAACTCAGGTTTTCAGGTGTCTATCTGAGTCACACTAGAATGCCATAAATTCAGATATCTGGTGATTTCAGAAGTGTATGTTTCCACATTGATGTATTGGTTAGCTCAGTAAGATGCAGTACAAACAAGCATGTTGGAATTTAATTAGTATTTTCCTAAATAAAACCAGAAATAAAACATTTATCTCTGGATCAGTTATGAATTTCGATGTTCACCTGTACTTCATTTTGAACACTGTGGTGTCAATCAAATTTGATGATTCAGGTTCATAGTTGAAGCCTGAGTCAGAGCCTCTTGACAGCCTCAGGCCTAACAAGACTAACACAGGTTTAAAACACTCATTCACACATGGTTCTAAAATTGTTGGTTTTGGACTTTTAAGGTGGTGCCTTACTTTTGATCAAACATACCAGAACTGTACTTTGATCAAACGCCATCAAACCCCGACATTAGAGGCAGAATGGTATTCTGTGGTTACTGTCAGTGCTGTGGAGGTCAGACTTTGATTTGTCTTAGACTGTAGACTGAGCCTAGTTTCAGTTAACAGTGAGAAGGAGTAAATATGCATTGATAATTTGTGTATTGGAGTGATACAGCGTATCACCAACATATGCATTATGATTTAGCATTATACCTAACAGATGTTCATGAGATCAGTTCAAATGCACATCAGTTATAGGTCTCAAGTCATCTCATTAAAAGGACTGAACACTAATTAGCACATTGTTTGTGTGACTTCTATTGTCTAGATGAAAGAACCCAACACGAAGTTGAAGACAGCAACAAGACAAAGACGGAACGAGCAGAGAAAAAGCAAGGAGACTCGAAATCTTTGCAAAGCAAAGGCAATCCTGTCTATCATGACTGAATGCTACGAGATGCTCAATACTCTATTAATGGACACCTGAGACCAAACTCAAGCACATTGTGAAGCAAAAAAAAACTGCAGCTCTTCTGCATTATATAGTCCTTCATTGGATTATGCAAGAGGAAGCTCCCACTTCATTTAAGCTATCCTGTCAAGTACAAGTATATATCTCTTGCGACTGTTTTGTGTGTTGCATGACAACTGACTCTTCAGATAAGTTTCAAAGCTACGCAGAAACAAGCTATTAAGCCAACTGGAAAAGAAAGTTCCAAGGCCGTCCAACATACTGGACTGTCCCACACTATGCTTTGGACCAACTATGTGCTGCATGAACCACCCACTGCCATGCAGAATTCACATGAATGACTCCATAAAAGTGCTTGATGCACCAAACAAAGACGCTTTTAGATGGTTGAAGGTGTGTACAAAGGGGAAACTGTTTTGTAAGATTAAGTTACAAGGAATTTTTCAAAGCAATTAGATTGTAAAGAATATGCTATGACATTTACTTGCACTTAGTGATGAGTCCTCAAGCATGACCAGGAAATATTAAGGTGCTCAAATTCAGTTTTGCTTTCACTTTGGATTAGAGAGACTAGCCCTGGCACATCTTTGTTATCTCTGTTATCTAAAACTCCTGTTGTTTTAGGCTGTGTCAGGTGCTCTCCTTAAGATGACATGGTGTTGATTAATCATTGAGTATGATTGATATTTTAAAAGCACATGCTTCCACAGATGGTTGAGTTTGTCTCACAGGCCTGACTCTGTTCTGGGATACATATAAAGAAGCTATCTTGTCACATTCAGTTGGTTGCTTTGATAAACGATACCTGCCTAATTAAAAAATAAAAATAAAAAAACTTACCAAGAATGTGCTTGGGGAGCCAAAATGCTCAACTGCCACATTTGTTGTTTTTTCATAACTGTTAGATATGCCATTTGTCAGTTTGTGTATCAGAAATGCATAAAAAAAACAAACATGCAGCCTTTGTTGATAGTTCCAGCTCCCACTTTCAGTGCAGCAGCTATTTTCACTTCCTGTTAGGGACCATACTTAATGCATTATCACGTAGTTAATTTCTGTTTGTAAAATGTTTTGTTTGGAGCAACTAATATTGTATATGAGCCATGGAATATGTATTCAAATATATTTATATCTACAACAATGCAAAGGCTCATGTTACTTTGTACTTGTTACCCTAAATGATTTACAGGATGACAGCAGTATATTGTTTTCTACTTCCTCTCTCTTCAACAGAGACTCTCACAACTCCATCAAACTTGTCTTAATGGAAGTTTATTGATGGTGGATATACATGGCATTAAGTGCACAACCAGGTATCCAGGCTAACAAGTGTTTTAATCAGTACAGAAAAACACACTCGCCCAGTCTGTTTATATATTCTCTGTCATGTAAGGTAATATAGGTAGCTTCTTGGAATAAATGTCTTACCTCTTAAAGACTATCATACCCAATCACTTTTAAATAACCAATAAGAGTTTGGCGGTTAGTGAACTTTAGCCATGCACCTCAAGTTGAGCTCTTTCACACTTACTGTCCCACCTGTAAATGAACTATGTGGGGTCACAAATAGTGTCTGTTCTATCAAGCAGAAAGACCAAGCATACCCATACAGAGCATTTCAAATGACTGTAGTGTAACCGTACTTTTAATCCTAAAAACATTAATGCATTGAATACTGACTCAATATAAACATTCAAAAAAAACAAAACAATTGCAACATATCCAAGTGCATTTAGGTTTCATACTAATTCAAATAAAAACACATTTTAATTCTGTATAACATTAACAAAAGATGCAGTCATTGTTCATTCAGTGACAATTAATGGGGATAAGAAAATAAATAAGTCATTTCATTGTATAAAATGAGAGGGAATAAAAGAGACTGAGTAAATGCTACATTTCTTTACAGACATCAGGCCTATGATGGTAACATTAAGAGAGCTGGAAACAAACTGCCTGTAAAGTGCCGGCAAGGGGAGAACTATCTTAACGGTTAGTTCACTTTTGCAGTTGCCCGTGTCAAACTAAGGTGATATCTTCCCTAAATTCAAATTTTTTTCATTTAGAAAAATGCATTGTTTTCTTCAGTAGTCAATCATATTGCACTTCAATAGTAGCATATTCCGTTTGTAAATGAAGTGGAGGCAGATGGGACTAAGGGATGCATTTAAAATCACGGTTGACAGGGGATTGAGATTCAGGGGCAATCAAACCCACCTTTAATGATTTATCCAACACTTTTCCTCTACCTCCTTTTTCACATTTTACAACACACCTCTTAGCTTGTATCTACAATTGGTACACATCTCTTCTAAGGATGCACCAATGGCTTTAATTGACTGATACTAACCCTAACCCTCTACAGGGTACTCTTCTTAATTATTCTAAAATTAAGATTTTGTAATAATACCAACCCAGACCACAATATTTCCCATGACCAAATTCTTAATCCCTCCGTGGCCTCTTGTTTCACAGCAATAATGTGTATGAGCTGGTGGAAAAAGCAGCAATGTTGTGGGCAAATCCTGCAGTAAGAAAAAAGCCAGTTACAATTAGTAATGGGTTGAGTGGGTTGTTCCTGTGTCAGTCATATAAGCTACTGAAAATGATCATTTTAACACAGCTTTATACTAGATAAGTTATTATATTTGTGTTACGAAAAAATAATTTGTACTACATTTAGCAGGACTGCAAGAAAAATGTGATAATACATACCGACCACTTCCTAAACCACAACCCTAACCTTTAATAGTTTTATTCAGATTCACCTTATCTGTATTTTGGTCCATACAGCAATTACAAAAGAAAACACAACACCATTGGGCTGTCTGCTGATTACACCACTTTACTGCTGTGAAACTAGACCCAAGTGTGAAAACACAGGGTAGAATGGATGGATGTAAAATTCTCATGAGTTTTGGTAAAACTCTCTGATGCTAGCTTGAGTACCGGTGTATCTCTGCTTTCCTCTACTTTCTCCTTCTTCTGACAGCCATCAGATGCACATCCTCCTGACCCCACACTCACAGCAGAATTTGGCAGACTCAACAGGGTACTTGGTCCCACAAGCATGACAGAACTTGCTCTTCATTCCACTGTTGTCGACTTCATTATCGCCATCGACATCATTCCTGAGAAATTTAAAAAAGACATACATTAACTTGTTTTTAAAGATATTTTAGGGCTGCTGATAATGTTGTTAATGTTAACAGATTATTAAAAGTTTAAATAATGTGGGGATTTTAAGATACTCTAAAAAAGCTGCAAAATGATTATCATCTGAGTCCAGGTGAAGTAGACAGTGATATAACATACAAACAAAATATAACTTAAAATCCTTTTAAGTGGATGAAACAAATGTTTTAGTGTTGTGATAGGGCAAGGCATAGTTTGAAAGTAAAAATGCTTACTTTTATTAAAAATACTTTTTTTTCACAAAGAGCCTGGAGTTGTGTGGCTTGCATAACCATTTCTAAAAAATAACTGCAAGCTGTAAGGATTTTTTTGTTTAAGGTACCATTCTGTCAGAATATGCATGTAAGAAACAGTCGTAACCAAGGAAACCTGAAAAACGAATCTAACTGAACTGAACTTAAACTTATTTAATTAATAGCATCTGTAAGATGTTAATTTAGTAAAACTCTCCAATTGTGCATTCTTTCTAGAGTGTGTTTATATAAAGAGGTTACTCGGTGAGACCAGAACAGACTCATCAGCTGGATGAAATACACCACCAAACCACAAGAGGTCAGGACAGTTTCACTGTATGGTGGTTTTTCATTCATTCTTGCTGACTTTCTGTGGAGCAAATGTCTTTGTGCTTTAGCTCACCTTGATATATAGGAGTCTGCTTTCTTCTTGTTGAGTCCTATTCCAGAATGAGTGTTCCTCACAGAGCCATAGCCAGAGCTTGCTGCTCGTGTCTTACTTCCCACACTAACAGAGACAAACAAAAGAGAAGAGAGACAAGGATGTGTCAAATGCAAATCACCTGTAGGACTGGTTTTGTAGCACAGATCTCAAGTTCAAACCATCCATTTGAGCTTCTACTAGCCTACTACTGTGGCAAGAAAAAGTATGTGAGCCCTTTGGAATTATCTGGTTGCTGCATTAACTGACAGACAAACATAATGTGACACACAACTGATAATAACTTTTCATGGCTTTATTGAACACACCCATTAAACATTCACAGTGCTGGTGGAAAAAGTAAGTGAACCCTTGTATTTAATTACTGGTCGAACTTCCTTTGGCAGCAATAACCTCAAACAAGCATTTTTGGTAGCTGCTGATCATTCGTGCAAAATGTTCTGGAGGACTTTCGGACCATTCTGGTGTGAACAGCTTTCTGAGGTCATTCCACAGAATCTCTGTGGGGTTAAGGTTTGGGCTCTGACTGAACCACACGAAAAGGTGGATTTTATTTGTTTGAAGTCATTCTGTAGTAGATTTATCTGCATGTTTAGTCCTGCATCACCCAGCTTCTACTGAGCTTCAGCAGGTGGACAGCCACCCTGACATTAATTTGTAAGATACCTTCATAAACTTGGGAATTCATTTTCACCTAAATGATGGTGAGCTGTCCAGGCCCAGAGGCAGCAAAGGCCTAAATCACTATGCTCCCTCCACCGTACTTCCATGCTGGGATGATGTTTTCATGTGTTATCTCGCCATTATCTGAGAGGTTCACATACTTTTTCCAGCCTGCACTGTTAATGTTTGAATAATATATGAACAAGAATACAATGATTTGTGTGTGATTAGTTCATATAGATTGTGTTTGTTCATTATTGCAACTTAGATGACAATCTGACCATATTCTAATACAAGTTTATGCATACATTTGTAGATTCTCAAGGGTTCACTTACTTTTTCTTGCAACTCCTTAAACACATTTACTGATCTGTTGATCACTCAATCACAGATAAACAAAAGATAATGTAGTTAGTAGAAAACACTAAATAAATAGCATAGGGATATCACATAAATATATATTTATTATTGTACGGTTAGAATTACTATCAACTTTTATTACTGAGCTACAGTAATTTAAAGAAATTCAGTCTTTCTTCAATAACATGCATATGCAAGCACTCCAAAGTAAAACAGATCCTCTATTCTACAAAGGAAATCTGCAGTGTAATTATGAAGCTTAAATCATCTTTTGCTGTGGTTATTGTAATTAAATGAGCCACGCTAGGTACAACGTAGACACAATGTCTTGCATACCATAGCAAAGACATAAAACGTGAACAATAACAATAAAACTGAAACAACAAATGCTTGAAGAGACATTACTAGATAGATAGATAGATAGATAGATAGATAGATAGATAGATAGATAGATAGATAGATACTTTATTCATCCCCTAGGGAATATTCTTTTAAAAGGTAAAAATAGAAGTACTTCCTGGACATCGGGACATAGTGAACAACGGAACAATGCCTTTTTGCCTTTTATATGTGACGCAGTGTTTGTGCGCACTGACCCTGATGGAGGACTTGTGAGGCCAGAGGGATTACTCCTCATTGAACCTGCAGAGGAGACCTTACCAGAGGGGATTCCTAGAGCGAGAGAAACAGGGTGAGAGAAATAATGACAGTAATACAAGACAGTGTGAGTGTTGCTGTGGTCCTAAACTTAGCTTGGCCTAGGAAAAACTTGATTTGTCAAGTCATTTCATTTGAAATGACATTGAAAGTAATTTCATTGAATGACTTGAAAAATCATGTTTTTCCTTGCAAATATAGAGAAGAGAGAGATAAACACAGCAGTGCTGTTTTACCAGTGGGCTGTCCAAGGCCTGATCTCTGGGGTAAACGAGAGGAGGCTGAAGGGATGGTTGACACAGCAGGAGAGTTGACCTTCTTTACAGGAGCAGAGGGTTTGTACTGAAGAAAGAGAGGGAAGCACTAAACACTAAATACACAATAATAGAATACAAAATACAGTGGCAAGTAAAAGTAAGTGAACCCTTTGGAATTACCTCCATTTATGTATTAATTTGTCCTTAAATATGGTCAGATCTTCATCCAAGTTACAATTATGAACAAACACAATCTACTTTAACTAATAACACACAAATCATTGGATTGTTCTTGTCCATATTCAAAACAGCATTCAAATTATCACATCATACAGTGTAGGCTAGAAAAAGTATATGAACCCCTCAGCTAATGGCATCAACAAAAGCTAACTGGAGTCAGGAGTTATCAAACCTATAGTCCAATCAATAAAACAAGACTGGAGGTATGGGTTAGAGACTTTTAAAAACATTTAAACATTTTGAGTTTGCTGTTCACAACAAACATCTGCTGATGTAAACCATCAAATCATCATGTTGATTTTCATATAGCTGGAAATGGTTACAAAGTCATCTCAAAGAGTTTAGATCCTTATCAGTCCACAGTCAAACAAACTGTCTCTAAATGGAGATGATTCAGTTGCGTGGCTAATCTCCCTAGAAGTGGACATCCAGCTAAGATGACTCCAAAAGCACAATGCAGACGCTCAGTAACATTAAAAAAGAATCTCAGAGTAACAGCTAAAGGCTTAAAGGAATCATTGGAGCTGGTTCCCATCTCTGTTCATGAGTCAACCATACGAAAATCATGGTGCATGGAACATGGTGTCCTTCCATGGACACCATGGAGGAAACTGTTTCTATCCATAAAAACAATGTTGTGCCCCTGAAATTTATAAAGAGAACCTTTACACTCCACAATGCTACTGTGAAAATGTTTTATGGACTGATGAAACTAAGGTTGACTTGTACAGTGTAGAAGGGCACTGCATACTAACATCCTAATATCATCATCCCCAAGATGAAGCAGGGTGGAGGGAGCATCATGATTTGAAGTCCTCTTAACCTGGACAGCTCAACATCATTGAGGGCAAAATTAATTCTCAAGCTTATCAAGGTCTCTTCCAGGATAATGTCAGAGTGTCTGTCAACCTGCTGAAGCTCAGTCAAAGCTGGGTGATGCAACAGAAAAATGACCCTAAACATCAAATAAATATACTACAAAATGGCTGCAGCCAAAGAAAATCCACCTTCTGGAGTTGCCCAGTCAGATGCCTGACCTTAATTCAGTAGAGATGCAGTGGAATGACCTGAAGAGAAATGTGCAACCAGACATCTTAAAAAACTGCCTGAGCTGAAGCAGTTCTTTAAAGAAGAATGGTCCAAAATTCCTTCCTGAATATTGAGCGCGTCTGATCAGCAGCTACTGGAAGCTCTTCAAGGTTATTGGTGCCAAATGAGGTTCAACCAATTATTAAGTCCATTTACTTTTTCCACCTGCACTGTAAATGTTTAATGGCTGTGTTCAATAAAGACACAAAAAACATATTTGACTTAAATGAAGATCGGGTCACATTTGATGACAAATCAGTGCAGAAAACCAGGTCATTCCAAAAGGTTAACATACTTTTGCTTGACATACTTCTTGCCACTTTAAAGTACACATTACAAAACATTAGATATGGATGTCCTATGATAGAAAGCATTAACATAGTCACTCTACCTGGAGACACTGCAATAGAACACATAGGTCATGTTACACTATATGGTAGCCAACAGACAACAGAGATAACCATACACGGAGCATGGCTTTTGGTTGTGTGTAAATGTTATGTACTATGATACCCTCAAATATGCAAATATGTGTGATGGTTTCTCTCTCCAAAAAGGTAGTGCATGTTTGAATCTTTTATTTTTAAAAATATGTCAAACCAGATTAACAGTGGCAAACATGCTATATACAGGTGTATTTCGACTCCATTAAAGAAATAATATTTTCCAATAAACTACAAATTGTCTGTTGTGTGCACATACAGTGACCAGTACGGTCTCTGTATGTGTTTACCTGTGTGCGACCAGGAGGCTTCTTGGTATCTCCTAACTTGCCCTTGTTGGGCATACGGGCTGCCTGCTCCTGGCAGAATTTGATGTGTCTGTCAGCCGCACTCTGGTTGAACCGCCGCTGACAGTAAGGGCACTGAATATAGTCTAAAGACAAAACAGGTGGTGGGAAAATATACCAGTGATAGTACCAACTATATAAACCTGAGATTAATTTCAAGCCTATATTTATAATTTTGTCATTACCTACATACTCCTGCTTTACTGTTTCAAACTCTTTTTATTATTGATTACATCCTCATATATTTACCATCTAAAAAGGAATCTTGTGCCCTGCTGTTAGTAAGTAGCTGTTTTGTTTCATCATAGTTATTACCACAGTTATAAAGAGTTTCTTAACAGTAACAATAAATCAGTCATTTTTACTGGAAATCTTTCTATTTTCTTAGTTAATCATTGGAGCTACAGTATGTGTTACCTGGGTCATAAGTAGGAGGAGGAGGTGGGGGTAATGGTCCCCCATCCTTAATGACCTGAGTGAGGGCCTTGGCAGCCCGGATGGTAGCAATGAAGTCCTCATGTTTCTTGCGCCAGTTGGATGGCTTCTTAGGCGGCTCTGCCTGGCAAGAGGCAACACAGAGGTGATGCTTTCACCAGCTTGTTTGTACCACAACCAACCTGCCCATTCTGATGTGTTATCATGACTTGAGTCATGATGAGTATGCCATCATTACTAAACAGCTGATTGTGTGTCTTTGTGTCTCTAGTTTCTCTCTATGTTTAAAAATCTAAAAGTAAGAAAATGTTACTGAGTCACCAGAATGCCAAAAAGCTAGTTGTATTCTGAAATGTTCTCTTTGCCAAACTTTAATGATCACGTTATTATTCCTTTCTTATTTAGGTCTAGGTCTATTATAATAATAGAAAACTGATGGTTTTATTGAATGCAGATCCCAATAACATACTTCATACTGTTATGGAAACTAATAACTTTGTTTCTATTCAGCCTTGAAATGTAAAAAATATCCCCTTTCTTAGAGCTATTATGTAGAGCTGATTGCTGATAGTAGACGTTCACTGGGCACCCTGTGAGCTGCTTCTGTTGCAACATGACACCACACTGACTTCACACTTCCTCCTATATGGTCTTCAAGTAAAAACAAAGGATTTTGAAGAAACTGAAGCAAATTTTCCATAATTCCCTCCAACTGTGCACTATTTACAGTATCCTCCTCATTCCTCAAGATCTTGACTACATGATACATGTCTATATATTATATTCTGACAACTCAATCAACAGTTTTATTATTTCTGGCTCCTTATTAAGGACTTCAAAATTGCCAATGATTATACATCACATAACAACTAGAGAACCATATGACAAGTAGAGGTATGTTCTCTTCATGCCACAAAACTGAGAATACTGTTATTCCAGTGGGAGGATAGAGTGATTATCCAGCAGAAAGTTGAAGTCAAGACAACAGAGAGAATTTTGACATTTTAAGAACTGGCAGACAACAGACTTCAAACTGGGCACAGTGACTTAAGCAAGTATCAGTCATTCAGGGTGACCTTCAGTGCCTTGAGACTTCATGACAACTTCTATAAAGAAAGAGCCAGAAACTAAGCAGACAGCTGTAGTTTGAGGGTGAGTTGTCAAACACTAATTTACAACAGATTATAGATATTACAGATTATATAGAATTATAGTAGTGCAGCCACAAGAGAATTCAAGAATTAAGACAATTAAAACATAAACCATAAAAGAAAGTGAAAACATAAAAGAATTCATTTGAATATTGTCAGTTGAAGAATGTAGGTAGGAAAGTGATTTTGGATTTTTAATACCACCAGTATGAGTTGACAGGCCTCCAGACTATTCAAACCAATGTTGCAAAGCAAGGAAATCGCTAAAGTGCTAGAAAGAGTGAGTGAAAGGCTCTGAAGCAACACAGTTGCTACAAATAATTTATAAACAAAAAGAAAGGACAAATGAAAAAAATACAAATCAACTTACTTTCTCAGTAGCAGATGAACTTTGTGACTGAAATACAATTGAAAGTGGTTTACACAATAATCTGCCAACACAAAATACTGAGTGTTCTACATGGGGCAGCAAAGATCAAAAACATTAGCTGTACCAACCACAGTGATGATCATTATGTTGACCATATTTGAACAGCTGATTCCTTCTGGGTTCCAGTGACCTACTTTGCTTTCTGAAAGTATTCAGACCCCGTCACACTTTATTGTGTGGTAGATTGTATTTTAAATGGGTGAAATTGCCAATTCACCTCTTATTTACAAAAGTAGACCCTCTGCTGTGGTACTCCAAACTGTAGTCAGGAGCATCCTGTTTCAATTATCCTTGAGATATGGCTACAACGTCTGGAGTCCACCTGTGACAAACTGAACTGGTTGGACATAGTTTAGAAAGGCATACACCTTTGTAGATAAGGTCCCACAATACATACCGCATGTCAGAGCAAAAAACAGTCTAAGGAACTCTCTGTAGATCTCTGCAACAACATTATGGATGGGCATAGATCAAGGCAAGGTTATTAAACAATTTCTAAAGCTTCAAGTGTTCCACGGAGCACAGTGGCCTCAATAATTGTGAAATGGAAGAACTTCTTAACCACCAGGACTGTTCATAAAGTTGGCCATCCGGCCAAACTGAGTAACTTGGCAAGAAAGGCTTTGATCACAGAGGTGATCAACAAAACCGCAAACACTATGTCTGGTGAACAACATCAGGCACACCTCATCACCTGGCTAATACCATCCTTAGTGTTGGCAGCATCATTCTATGATGGTGGAGCGGCAGGTGGAGCAGCAGGGACAGAAAGACTGGTCAGAATTGAGGGAAAGACAAATGCAGCCAAATACAGAGAGGTCCTTGAAGAAAACCTTTTCCAGAGCGCACACAACCTGAGGATGAGGCAATGGTTCATTCTTCAGCATGACAATGACCATAGAATACAGCTAAGACAACACTGGAATAATTGGGAATAATGAAGACACATCATCGACAAATGTCTTAATCAGAAACAGAGTTGGTGACATAAAATGTGACGGATTTTATTATTATATGTAGCAATAATAAATAATAAATCTATTCTTTTAATTTCTCCATTACTGGAAGCAAAACCGATAACGTCATAGCTTATTGATACTATGGTCATTAATAATTTTAATCCAGTGTTCCAGTACTGGGAGTGACTGTCCTTCAGTGGCCCAGCCAATTCCTAGACTTAGACCCCACAGAACATCTGTGGGGAAACCTGAAGACGGCAGTTCATAGACACTTCCCATCTGACGGACCTTGAAAGGATCCTCCAGCAAGAACAGGATAAACTGCCCATATCCAGATGTGCATTGCTTGAAGACCCAAGAAGACTCAAAGCTGTAATTAGGATCTGCAAAGTACTGAATTAAAGGTCTTACCTTTGTAAATGAAATATTTCAGTTTTTGATTTTTCATAAATTTGCAAACATTTATAAAAACATGATCCCTTTGTCATTATGGGACATTGAGTGTGACTGATGGGTAAAAATGGCAATTTTATCCATTTATAATTAAATCTATAACACAATAAATTCCGCAAAAAGTGAAGGGGTCTGAATACTTTCTGAAGCCACTGTGAGTTGAATGTAATTATAGCAATTGTTCACATGAGCCAGAGTAAACAAGATTATGATTAAGGCAGCAGATTTGCTGTTTTGTGGCCTGAAAATATATAGTCTCTTGACCTGTGATATGGAATATCATATTGAAACTTGCACTGTCCAACCAATGAATTACTCCTAAATTTTTACATTAGAAAGATGAATTAATGAATGACCTCAAGTTAAAAGATAGATGAGTAATTGTTGTCATGAAAGTAGATGGCTATTACCATAACAAAATACATTTCTAAACAATTTAATGACATGACAATTTAATGTCAGTCAATGACAACATGAAATAAAACTTGAATTCATCAAGTGTTCAGACAGTGTTTCTGAGATGTGCAGTTTTTTTAAAATCGTTAATCAAATTAAACTCTCTTGGACATTTTGTGTTGGATTTCCATCCCCATCCTCAGGTGTGGCCTTACCTTTGGTTTGATAGGTTTGAGTATGGGGATATCAGTGCCCTCAGCTCGCTGTCTACTGGAGTCAAAAACCTTCCTCCGCTTTGTTGTTGACTTGTGGCAGATTTTAGCATGCCTCTCCTGTGGAGAGAGAAATAAAGTAGGCAATAACTACACACTGTAAAACTTACATCCCCTTCTACACATTTTGGAAACACTTGTGATTTGTACCTTTATCTTATCCTAGCACATTTTCAAAACTTTTTTTTTTGAAAGCAGCCTGTGCATATTCTCATTTGTCCAGGTCATAGTATCCTAAAGGAGTTTAAATCGAAAAATCGGCTTCATCAGTTCATGTACGCATCTGACCAGGCTGACCCAGTTGTTTTTTCGATTGCAGGCTGGGACTGGTGGTCACCAGTCCCAGTTGTTTTTTCGATTTAAACTCCTTTAGGTTTTTTTTTTTAAAGCAGCAAAAAGCAAGAGAAATATGATTTCTCTGACAAGTGCTAGGTAAATAATACACACTTCTTTCAAATTGAATCTAGTTTATATTGTTGATTGTGTAACATTAATGACACTTATAATCTATTGAATGCTGCATCCAATTTTTTAAACCTTTTAACCTCCTAATGTAGATACAAGCACACATCCCTTTACAGATACATGCCAACAAAAGTGCAAATGCACTATGCAGTACTGTAGCCATTGTCAGCTAATGAGGCTTAGTGCCTGTATAAGTGCACATTTGTGTACTTGCATTACTAGGAAAGAATATCTTCCAACAACTTACTGAAATCATTGTAGCTTTGATGTGGTAAAATCCAGCCCTATATTATTTTTTTAGTCACATTCATGTAGTAAAGTGATGATAAAAGCAAATACAGTGGCAGTAACAAAAATATGCATCATCTTTATCCATGTGTATAACTACTACAGTAAATACATATATCATATCATCATATATACAAATCACTTTACATAATAAGTCAATTATGAATAAGTTTTACAAGTCATTTAAAAAAGCATCAATCTTATTGATAAAAGTGGCCTCTTTGAAAGAAAAATCTGGCATTTGTGTTTTCTGTTTGATTCCTTGGTAACAAATTCCATTACATAGCAACCATTATTTACAGTCGCCACTGCTCCCAGACTTGAATTTAACAGCAATGCATTTTAGCACTACAGTAGGTCCTTAGTCTATTTTTTTCCACACATCTGCTCTAACAAATAGCTTTACAGCTTTGTCAAAAGTTTCATCTTCCCTATACAGAGCTCTCCACATGGCCCTGCTGGCTATTTGGATTGTAGTCAATGATACATTATTATCCAAACAGCTGACATCCTGTCAGCTGATCATCACTGTGGAAAATAGTCATAGTCAAATAGTGTATACTCAACACAACAAATTCATCTTTTTAAGGACAGTATATTAACCATAAGAATAGAGACCAATTTTGGCTGAACCAAATCCACAGCATTTTCATTTCAGGGGCTTGCTCTCACAACACTACACTGTAGACCAGGAAGATGATTTTTACCAGGACTTTAGGGAAGAACCATCTTTTACAGGTGATGCATTGAGACAGATCCTCAGCAGGGGGAGTTTCACTATCTGTAAAAATAACAGATAGTGTGTAGTGAAGAAGGTTAAATATCAAGGGGAACAGAAATGGACCACACCTGGCCACTCTTAATTTATTGATGAAACGATCGTGTGTTTACAGGAAGAAGACACACACAGACACACAGACAGACAGACAGACAGACAGACACACACACACACACACACACACACACACACACATAATCAATATTTGGTGTATGGTAAATGTTTAGTTTCGCTCTCATAAATCGTGTTTTGGGCATTGTCGTTGTCAATAACCAACTAATGTGTCATATAGTGTTGCTTTGATATGTTAATTTTACATGGATTCTGTCAATAATTTACAAATACTGAAAACAGACAGAGTTTAGTAGTAAGAAGCTAAGGTTTAAGATTTTTAAACGTAGTTTATATATTACACTCGCCAGTATAACGGTAGACACAAGAAATGTAACAACCGACTGTCCTTTGCAATACGGTGGTTTCAATCATTTAAAGGTTTATTAGTTTACAGCATGCTAACACTGGATAGCGACGGTGGCTAATGTAGGGATCACACCCATACACAGACAGGCAGCAGCTACTTTCATCTTTGGCCCTGGCGTTACCTAGCATTACATGGGCTAAATTCCAAACAAAAAAAGAGGTCGCTATCAGAACTGGCAAGCAAAAGCAGTACGCAAAATTAGAAAGATGGAAACGGAGAGGCGGTGAGTTCCACTTTAACACCAAACAGCTAAAATGCTCCTGGAGGGAAATTTCTCTCACCTTCCAATTCTTCCATCATTAGGTAATCCCTTGTCTGATGCTGCTGTTGTTACAAACGGCCAAAAGTAGCAAGAGGAAGTGAGAGGATTCACTCCTGCGCACTTCCGGCTTCACTAAAACACGGAGAACATCTCTCAAATTCTTGATATTACCTTTTATTTATGCCCACTAATTAAGTGAAATGCAAAAATATCAATATTTAGGGTCTTTGTAAGTTAATGGTAGTTGTTGTAATACCGACAGCTTGCATAAATTACCTTCATTCATGTATCAGTTAGATACGCTAAATAATCAGAAATTTATACTCATCCCTGCTTTTCTACGGCATGGGGCATTATGATTCAGTTATAATTATAATTTACAATTATTATAATTCAGTTATAACAACGTTTTATATGCTAGTATTGAAAATTAACTATCTTGATATAACTGATCTTTGGCTACCAATAGCAACTGGCTTGTCTAATGCCGCTTCATGTCCTAACATCTGAGTATGTGATTGGTTGTTACTGCACGGTTCGCGTTAATGCAAGTGTGTACTTTGAACAGCAGGTGGGGCCTGGGAGGCAACCTCGGTTCTCTTGTTCTTAATATTATTCCCAAATATGGCATTAAAGCGTTGCACAATTTTTGAAGTAGTTAACATATCAGTTTATAGGAGTGAAAAAAATAATCCTTCCTCATTTTCTTTTAACTCTTTCAGGTGTTGTCAACAATAATACTCCAGTTTTGTCCCAGAATAAAATAGTGCTCTTTTATGATATTTATAGGAAATTCATGAGCATACTAAAGATAATAATTTATGGTTTTACCAATGAATTGGGTGAATGAGTTGGGTCAAGTTAGCCAAGTCCTTAATGACCGTAGTGTATGACCTTGTTGCCTTTTTGCCCAGTTTGGCATATTGAGCACATGTGCCAGCTGAATGGAGTAATTCACAGCCAGATGCTGTGAGACCACAGAAAATTTGATGCTGAATGGCTGCAACCTCTGTGCATTCATCACAACAAGATCACTGTTTTCTCTCTCACTGGGTCTCTCTCTCTTGCTCTCTACTTGCCCTCACGGGCTTCTCTCTCCTCTCCCTCCCCCCCCCCCCCCCCCCCCCTCTCTCCTTTAGCTTTTATTGGAAATTGGAGTGTCAGTGTTTCTTTCATCTCAAGGCCAATCCAACTTCTTTTGGACTTACAAAATAATACGATTGACATTGTAGGCTATTTAATACAATATAATATAATATAATGTCTTTCTGATGATTTATTTATTTAGTTTGATTAGACTAAAATATCCTGTCATAGATTTATTCATATTAGCCAGTTTATTTTATTTTTACAACTGACTGACTTTAGTCATTAAGTGACTTACAAGAATAATATTTAGGATAATTTTCATTAATGTTAATTCTGTATTATTGCTTAGCCTTACTTGACGTTCTAACTGGTAGTGGATCAAAAGGGTAATTTGAAGCTCTGAGTTTTATTTTGAAATTGTACCCGGAAATTCTGACAGTGGCTTGTCAGGGTAAATCGTCGTTCTTGAGCGTAATGGTAGTGGGGTAGTGGTATTCAAGCTGATGTGATTGACCTCTGCGATTATTCGGAAGCCCTCTAACCTAAACAGGTACCTACTGATAATGATGGTAATTATAGTAGAGGTGAATGTGCATCGTAATTCCACGTGCAACGTTAATATCTGTGCAGGCTGCGCTTACTGAATTCTACGGGGGTCTTTGTCATCAGAAAAAGACATAGCTGTTCATTTATTATCAGTTTGAGCATGTCGATCCTGCACATAGATCCTGCATTAATGGCATGTTTTAATGCAAAGGCTAGGGCGTTACTGTGTCATCAATGCAAGTGATTTATTATAGGACCCCACTGCGCAAGACTAGATTTGATTTAATGAGCAGCAGCGCCTCCACTTAGTCCTTAGATGATAGATGATAAATGTTGGAAGACATCAATTATTTAAACCATACTCTAACAAAGGTTTGCAATGGACTAGACAGCTCAGGGCAAGGGCAGGAACACTTAATAAATTACTTAACTATTCATTCCATATTAATCCTAACCTATAGATTTAATAAGATGCTACAGAAAGAACACAGTAATATACATTGTATATGTAAATATCGGTGATACTAAAGTTAGGAATAAAATTAGTAAAGTGTGTATTTTTGTTTGTGTGTGTGTGTGTGTGTGTGTGTGTGTGTGTGTGTGAGGGTGGGCAGGGATTTTGGCAACAGTTCAAGTTTTGCCCAGGCCATCTAGAATAACACTAGCATATGTTTCTGGAACTCTATTCCTGCACTGCCCTCATTTCTGCTAATTTTCTGTTTGGCAGCAGAACAGATCAAACGGTTGCAGAGCAGGAGAAGCCAAGTTCTTTTTTTTTATTAATTAATTAATTTTTTTCACTTCTTATTCAGTGACAAAAAGGGCAGAGCATACTAGCCTGTTTATGAAGTGACTTGATCATTTGTTTTGAGTCTGTGCTAGATATGTTGTTGTCCAGGCCACACACACACACACACACACTACACAACACCAGGACAGTCACACCCACACAACACGGATCGCACACAAACACACACACACAAACACACTAACACACACACGCGCACACACACACACACACACACACACACACACACACACACACACTGCTTAACTGCTGATGTTCTTCTGGGTGCAGAATTGTGACTAAATAATGTAAACAGGCAATCAATATTTCATAGAATATGAGCATAGGAAAAAAAAAGAAAAAATATAAAAAGAATTTAAAAAAAATTATCTGTCTCAACTTCTTGTTGGAGTATATCATCTTTTGTCTGTTGCTTCCCCAATTGTCTGCCAATTGTACATGGGCAACATCTGTTGGGTCTTGCCCATCTTGACACCATTTTTAGAATGACAGCTGAGTGGGAGCATGCTCAGATGATGACAGAGGAGACATCCAAAAATAACCATGGTCAATCACAGCTTGCACCACTCTTGAAATAGCCACAAATGGACGTGGGAGCTGAGGTCATTTTTGCAGTTTCTCCAGTCTGACTCTTCTCCAGAGTCTAACTCTTAGAAGTGTTTAAGTGCTGATATTCAAAATTGATAGATAGATGAAGTCAAGAAATCTCAGACAGACAGATTTTAATTAGTGGAAATGGGGCAGGGAAGCCGGGACTTACTCAGTGGTGAAGGGCAGCCTCTCCCGCACAGATTGATACAGAGCATTAGAATGACAGCAGAGGGGTTTAGCCTAAATCTCTGTGGCAACACAGCTCCCATCGCGCTCCATGCTTACTCCAAGTGGGATGACACACTGTGCTCCTTTGTACCATAATTACCCCTTTGAGTGTGTGTTTTTGGTCACTGCATTAGTTCAAAAACACCCTCATTTGTGTTTTCATTCCATTGCCCAGTATTAAGCTTCTGTGTGTGCCAGGTCCTGCTATGGTGAGGTGTGTCAGCGATGACGGATGTGGAGGCGACCTACGAGGACTTCATCACCTCTCGACGGTCTGGTCGCAGGAATGCCATCCATGAAATCCCAGCAACCCCTGGAGTGCAGGGACCCACTGACCTGTCACAGAGTCTGGGACAGCTTAACATCAACAAATCAGGTGAGAAATATCACTGGATGGCACATAACACACAAGTACTGATAACATGGAAAAAAACATCTGTTACTAATTCTAAAACTACTTTGACTTTGTAGAGTGAAAGCATAAAATCTTATTATGCGATTTTTGAACCTACTTGAACTTTCCCTTGCACTAATAGTATCTCATAAGCATTGGTGGTACTAGCTTGAATGGTGCCCTGGGTGAATACCACCTTCAGCATGTATATTTTGCTTGTATATATATATATACTTTCACAATAAGACAAAAAGACACACTCATTCTAAATTGCACTATTGTCCTGACAGCCTTTCTTGCTTTCCTTAATGCAAAGTCATCAATTAGTACCAGAATTTTATACAATCATAAATACCAAAAGTAAATACCTAAAGTAATAAGAATACAAAGAAGATTTTTAGTTTATTATTCTCCACGAGTTCACACAACACAGAAAACAGATGTGTGTGAAACTACAGGTCTGTATTCACAGTATTATGAATGAATTGTGGTTTATTTGGTAGCTTTTCCTGGTGTGACTGATTTTACTGATTGTATTAGTAGCCTACTGTACAGAGATAGAAGTGCACTATTTGATAGATTCCCCTGCTCCAGTGGGTAAGCTCCGCCCCTGCGCCCCTCCCCATCTCCCACTACCTCTGAGGGTGAGAGAGAAGACCTTCTCAGCAGAAGTCTGCATAAACTAAAAAGGGCACCGCTCTGACCCACACAGTGACATGATGTCATTGATGTGATGTGTAAATGAGCGATAGAAAACAGATGGCGCAAATGTAACTATTTTTTTTGCGCGCCTGTGCCGCCCCCCGGACAAGATGCCGCTGCCCAAGTCACCCATATTTAAATCCGCCACTGCTCATAAGTGTATGTTGAATTGATTTATTAAAGAAAACACCCAGTAACTTGAGCAAAACTTAATAGGCAAACAAAAAAAAAAAACTTTCTCTTCAAGGAGACCTTTAAACCTGCCTCTTTCTATAAGTGTTATGAGTTGATTCTTTGCTCATTCTAACTTGGTGATTTAAATTCCTGCTGTTTTTATGGTAACTTACCCTCTGATTCAACCAACCTCATTCGCATCACTGACTTCACAAGTTGTAATTTATGCATGAAACTGTCTTTCTGTTTCTCTCTGTCCCAGGTGATGAGGAAGAAAACGCTGAGAAAAGCCAGGACTCTCCAGCTGAAGAAGAGGAGACTCAAGGTGAGGGCAACTAAATGACAAAGGGTGGCAGACATTTATGGACTCAGACAACCACTTATTTTTGTCTACCTGCTCCCTGAATGTTAGGCCTTTGACTGGCCAATTGCATTTAATGACTATAAACACACACAGCAAGATCCTCTACTACCATCATCCCACAATCAGGAAGTCATCACTGTAGGAACCACTATGCACTTTCACTTCTGTGCTTGGATGTGTTCCATTTTCCTTAAAAAGCCTCCTTCCCTTGATGCCTTTCCTTTGTGGTTGTTGATATGAGAGTGGATGTGATGCATGATGATGGCCATTGTCAACGGCCAAAACCACTGCTGTTTGTCTGTCCGTGGTACTGAGAGGAAAGGAGAGAAGGGACCAGAGGCCATTTGTTGGTTTTGGAGAAGGGTTAAGTTTTTCTGCTGAATTAAAATATTATCTTCCGTCCCCACCTTGCCTTGAATCAGCCACTACACAACACTTCCAGGGAATCCAGGATAGTGATTGGACACCTACTTTCCCTACGCTCTTATTGCATCAACACCTGCATTTATCTGAGTTAGGAACTTGATCTGCTCTTTAACTCTGTCACAGTGGTCATGCAAAAGTTGTATCAAAAGAGCAACTGTGTTCTGTTTCACTGGCTACTTTCCTGCTCTTACACACTGACCCACAACCTGTTATAGCCCTTTTTGTGTCCACTGCCAGGCCTAACAGATGCAGCTGGTGTCTGCTTCTGTTAGATTATGCCTGAGTACAGCATTTTTAAATTATTTTGTTGCCAAAGTAAGTCATCTATACTGTTATTTCTTATTTTTATATGTTCAAAACATTGTAAAGCTTGTCCTAGGTCTTTACATGGGAAATTATTTTCTAATATTCAGTATTTTGAAAATGCAACTTACTGATGATTTACCTAACTATGATTTACAATGGTATTTTGTATGAATAAGGCATTTATCTAAAATATTCTTTGTGACTTTGACTCTTCGACTTTCATTCTTTGAGTCATTCAGATAGTTGTTAATAGTTATGGAATTTATTTTTTTTAAATAATGTTCTTCTATTGCAATACATCTTATGTAAAACTAAATCTTGTTTGGTTACAAAGTATGTTAACTCATATTTAATTATCCATTTCATTCTCTGTGGAAAAGTCTTCGGTCTTCTGTGATGGCGATGGATGCAGGAGTTTGCCATTCTAAGTACAAGGTGTAAAGATTTCATATTATACATACAAATTTGTTGATATTATTGCTGTATCCTTGTTACCCAACATTAGATAAATGCACTGCCTTCCACTAAGCATATCCAAATTTGTGTCCATGAGTGTGTGTATGAGGGTGTGTATGAGGGTGTGTGTGTTTTAAATACAATTTGTTTGTGGTGGATGTTAAGATGAATAACTTATTTGCTGCTGGAGATTAGAAAAATCCTAATACTGACTGCACCGAGTACACTAGTGTGTTATTTATCATTATTATTGTTTATTATAGATCTGTATGTGTATGTGTGTGTACATACATCATGTCCTGTGGCTTATCGGGTGTCTGCTAGAATGATTATTATTCCCATTTCTTTATTGTTTCATAGTGACAAAACCATCCCTCTCAATACTATAATGGTAGCTATGGTACACTGTCTTGTTTTGTTATACCAATCAAATATATAGATATGCACTCTAAAAATTTCTCTTGAATTCATGCTGTATAACACTCAAATATTTTAAGATTTATTTTTAACCCAGAGACATTATCTGATCATTTGATTTGTTTCTGTCTTGTTTTGCATTTTATGGCTTAAATCTGAAAGTTAATGACCTTTTACAATGTACTTACAGGTGAAAAATATTTTGTACATTGAGTCAGATATAGTGTCATTTAATGACCAGCATTGTTGGTGACCAAGAACACCCATGAGTATGTTGTATTTTTTGTATTATTATTTCCTGGCATTCGTTCATGAGTCACGCCCCTGTGTTGTCAGTTACCTTTCTGTATTAAGCCCTCATATTTGATATTGTTGACTTTGTAAGTTTCGATGTGCAATTAAATCTCGCTGGTGAAAAATGAAATATTGTCAAAACTAATTTATGTGCGTGTCCTGTCCACTGATGAGAGGGCTGAGTAAACCAGGTCTTTGTCTCCCTCTTGTGGTCAAAGACCTGACAGTAAGTCACAAATAAGCTATACCACTGGTTCATTTTGTTTTGGAAATGATAGATTAAGTTCTGTGATGCAGTTACTGTCACTGAAACTGTATAATTGTGATACCCTATTCTGTGATTTTAAGTCTCTGTGATGCAATAGATACTTCAGTTGTTCACCCATGTGATGGAGTTGATGCTCTACAATTATAGACCTACAGTATAATTGACAAAAAGATATAGTGATTATGCCTTGGCTGGTGATTAGACATTGATTAAGCCCATGTTAGTCATTAAATACTGTAGACCTATGTCATGCAAACATGATATTAAACCACATAATAAAGCATTTTACAAATACACATAGAATACAATAAAGTACTGAATAACTTAATAAGGGGTGTGAGGACTGAAAATTTTGCTATTTGGTAGATACAATAAGTATGCTGTAGGTCTATGTAATGCAATAAATCATACTGATATAGAGTTCTGTGATGAAAAAGATAATATGGTTATAGGATCTCCGTAATGCAATAGACAATGTTATTACAAGCCTTTGTGATGCAATTAATACCATATTTATAGGTCTCTGGTATTATTACACTCTTCTGTGATGCAATAGATATTATCAAAGGCATCTCTGGTGTTATTAAAGGACGCTGTGATTCTGATACTTAATTATTAAAGGGCTCTGTGTTACATTAACCTGCCTAATGTGTTAGAAAAGGGTTTACACCTGTAGTGTTTCGGGTTGAATTTGACCCCTATTTGAATTCATTGACAAACACTGAAAAAAACACTAATTACCATCCACTAAAATGTTTTATCTGCTTAAGTAACTTAATTTCATTGGTAAATATAACATATGAGGTCTAAATATAACCATAGACCTCATTTAACTCACAGTGTGCAAATCGTTTTATGTTTAAAATAGGCACAATTTTGTTATTTTATTATCAGCCTATAAAAGGCTGATGATAAATGTTGAAGAAAATTCACTCAAGTCCTTAGTTCCAAGTTTGCTGTAGTGGTGTGAGTTTATTGGTATTCCAGAATACAGTGAGCCTACTAACACAGAGCGGGTCTGAGGCAATAGACTGACCGAGAATGGAGGGGAGGGGGACAGTTATACAGTTGAGGAAAAATGGGTTACAGACATGTGGTCAGACAGGATAACAATGAGATCAAAAGGGTGTAGAAACAAAAGGTAATTTCCTATAGAAGCCTAACAGTGTAACACCTGGGGTCAATTTACCAGAGGGACAGGAAGGACTCCTAGATTGAATCAGCTTAGCCACACATAAAGGTGTTGATAAGACAGTAATGTACTGGAAGCAGTAAGGATGTTGTACTGAGACAGATGATTCTTGACAATAAAACAGGAGGGGGTACTGTCTTCAAATGTGTAGTATTTTCTTGATCAAAAGATCAAGGGGCCAACCCAGTAGGGTTATAGAATTGTTCCAAGGTGTTATTCAATCATCAAGTTTTCACTCAGGAATGTGTATTGTCTGAAAGGTCAAGATAATTGTCAATTTATCATTTGCAAAAATAGTTCCTAAAATAACATACATATGTTGTGTTATGGGTCAGAATTGACCATATATACCTTCCTATAAAAACAGTATCCCGGTATATATTTGCATATTCCTTGCATAGCTGTTCCTTCATCGTAAGCTGCCCAGATTTCAGTGCCATATTGCCATATGGGAATGTGTCGTCTTAATGGACAGCGACATTTGAATGGGACCAGCGGTTCATCTACTGTAACCTAGGATGGCAAGCGTTCTACCCATTTGTCTAAATATCTCTTATGAGTGCAATTTGTCCGTCTCACAATGAGCTAACCATGTCTCATAGTTGTCAAATTGAATAACTCAAATGACATTACTCCTAATATACAGAAGACAAAAGTTCATATTAAATAACTTCACTGCAGAGAGGAGGTAATCATAGCACAATTATGGCTTAATTCAGAGAGGGAGAGATTAAGAAACATAGAAAGCTACTTGACACAGGGCAAGAATGGAAAAAAGTTTAAAATCACTACGGAGTACAGGACAGAATTTACAGGAAATCAGAAGGGGGTTGTAGGTTATATAATACAGGTGGGATTAGGGTGTAAGTAGGCCTATTGTTATTATTATTAGTATGATTTTTTTTTCTTTATCTTTAAATTATTATTATTATTATTTTTTTTTTTTATTGGTATTCAGATGATTGTGATCTTCCAAGAAACCCACTGAAGAAGATAAACTGTCTCTGCTTATGCTGCACACCTAACCTGTCTCTGCTCCAGAGCTGAAAAATGCATATGTATGATAATTTATATATTTTATAGAACTCACCTGCTTAATTTTTATTGAGTTATAGTTATGCATAATTGGGGGTGTGGCCGTTCTTAGTGACAGGTGGGTGCCATAAGAGTAGACAAGCCCCTTGGTGTCTGCTTAGTGTCACCTCAGCTAATTCACTGAACGTGACCTCTTGGCCATGTTTGCAGTGATGGTGCCTTTTGGAGGATTTTTCATGCAAATGTTGGAAAAAATAATAGGGCTTGTTGTGCAGTTAATTGACCAACAGAAGGTGAGGGAGTCTGTGCTCCTGCTTTTTGAGGTGAGTAAAATTCTAGTATAATTTTATTTATGCTAGCACTAATTAGAAGGTAATGGTGTTACCTGGCTTGTTCACTAGCTAACTAGCTAGTAGGAATCAGACATTAATTAGCCTTGGGTTAGCATCAGAGCAAGATACTAACAATGCTATCGGAAGCTAACGGGAGCTTATGAGCCATAGTTATTAAACCAACATGCACTGAAGCAAAGAAACTCTATAACAGAAGGCGCATTACAAGCAGTACTCCTAAGTGGGTGTGGTTGTGATTGCTTGTTCATGTCAAAAAGCAACACTAATGCAATACAACACTAGATAGCCTACAGTATGAATTTACACCTGATTTTGCTGCTTGTTTTTATCTGCTTGCTCATATCTGATCAACCCAGTACAAGATCATATCAGTCTAAAATAATAACAATAATAGTATTATAACACAAAGAAATATATGTTTTATATCAGTTTTATCTTTTAATTCATGGTTGCATGTATAGGTCCCTATAGACTTCTGGTTGGAAATCAGCAGCACTACTGCAGCAGTGAAACCAGACCAGAAGATACAGAGAAGAGGGATCTGTTGTGAGATCTTGCAAGAATTTGTTGCTGAGACAGAGACAGGTCTCAAATAAAGTAAATTTTCTCCTGATCTGTGGGTTTGAAAAATGCCAGAATGTTCAGAAGAGATGTGGCTTGTGAAAAATGGATCTAATATTTATTTCGGTGATTATGGGGCAATTCATTGAAATGAATAGACTCAGACCTGCTGCTGGTCTCCTAAAGAGGCAAGGAGGTGGAGAAATCCATGTGGCAAAGTTACAGGAAATGACTGTAAAATGAGCCATCTTCTTTCTCAACTGTCTCTGACCGAAGTCTTCGCCCCACACATGCCCTACCTCTTTGCCAATTCTTGGATTAACCGGGAGTTAGGTGAAGTCAGGCAGTGCCAAGATAGCGACAGCGGTGCAGCCCACTCTGAGCTTCAAAACCGCTCTTCAGAGACCTATGGGTGACGTCACAGAGGCTACGTCCATCTTAACATACATGTGGGTGACCCTCACAATTACAGAAGGCCAGCTCCTCAGCAGGAGTGTACACCGGTGTGCGCCTCCCGTCTTCTTCATTTCATTTTTTTTTGTGTTGGCTGCAATCAATGCATCCAACAATAGAGACTGATTGAAACATTAAAGCCTTGTAGACCAATTTACCACTTTGAATTATGTTTCCATTTGACACAGGTTGCAGCTGAAAGAGTAGGGCTTAAACTATTCTAAGCAATAAAATAATTCAATGCAATACACAAATGTAATTATAGTCAGATCTACTCCTGCCTTTATGATGGGGCAGTGGTATTAACTTTAACTTAAGCATTCATACAGTCTTCGTATTTCTCTAATATTATAGTTTGCTCTTCATTTGCAATGCCACTCTTCTGCTTATAGACTTATCCATGTTTGCAATTGATAATATGCTGCAAACACCGCCCCTTTTTGCACAAACGTGCCTGGGAAACCCTAGGGTGACTGAGTTGATAATAAGTGAAGCCAGATAATGGAAAAATTCCTGAGTATGCTGAACTTGCACCATAGCTGCTGCTCGTGTTCCTGTTGTGGAATTTTCTGTATAAGGCCATTAATGAATAAGGAAAAATTGATACACAGAGAGCATTGATGTTTGAGTTAAATTGCGCAAAAGAGTGAAAGAAGCCACAATATACGTATATTGTCACAAGTCTAGTCTTGGCTGCAGCATTCAATCATCAATGGTGAATCTGTGATAGAAAGTTTATTTAAGGTAAACACAAGAAACTTGTGCTACAGAAAATGGACCAGACTCTGAATAGCTCCCTAAGCTTAACATCCTAAATCCTATGATAAGTATTAATTTGGCTATACAGACTAATGAGCAGTGATAACTAACATGTCTTTGGGGTCATCAGGTGGGAACCTCCTTTCACCAGTGTTTCGTCTAGTTGGTCCCACGACACCTCCAGGAGGCTAGACAGTGATCACTGGTGTCCCAGAGTCACTCCCCTAATGCCAGCCATCACTGCTCCTCACACCACGACTATTTTCTCCTTTATCTTGCCTATGCTACCACAAACAACATCATCAACTCGGACAAAACACACTAGCAGATTCAGCAAACAAACTCCCCTAACCAGTTGGAGAAAGTGGCGGCCATTTTGAATGAGGGAGGTAGAGTCAAGGAGAGATGCCTTTTTGAGCTAAACTCTCCCCCGCCGGATTAGGCTGTGCTCTACCTCCCCCTACTCCCCCACTCTCCAAGACAAATGAGGGAGGTAGAGTCAGGGAGAGGTGCCTTTTTGGGCTAGCTCTCCCCCGCCGGATTAGGCTGTGCTCTACCCCCCCCCCGCCACTTCCCTACTCTCCAACAACTCACCTAAAATAAACAAACTCACCTAAACAGCCAAAGACAAAAGCCAATAAGCACATTACAAACCAATTCAAACAATGCAAAAAACAAACAATACAGGCCACCTTACCTGGACTAACCGCATGGTCTCAAAGAGGCTCACACAGGCCACACCCCCCACTAAAAACACTTCCTTTTCCTGGATTTCTTCCTTGCTTCTCCTAAAAGTCTGTCTATCCTAAGTGCTCCCCCTGCTGGGCCCCAGCTACCATTATTTCTTCTCATCCAAATCCACTGAACTGGATCTTGCTGCCTCATCTGACATGTTCTTTACTATTTTCCTACACACTCTGTCCACTTCCTCCCTAAACTCCCTCCACCAAAGAAACAACAGACCTTGCTACAAATCCTCTACATCCTACTTCCACTGGACAAATCCTAACTTTCCATCCTCGCTGCTCTGCTTCTGCCCCTAACACTACATACCTGAGCTTTTTCCTTCCATATACTTCTTCAACTGAAGCCTCCCACGGAACAGTCAGCTCTATGAAATATACTTTCATTCTACTCCTAGACCACAAAACTATGTCAGGCCTTAGCTTTGTACTGGCTATTTCCTGGGGAACAACAAGCTTTCCTTCTAAATCTAACTGCATTTCCCAATCACAAGCATCCTCTAAGCTGCCTTGCCTCCTTGTTGTCTTACCAACTTTCTCTCCCTCTTGAACAAACTTGATTGCAACTCTCTTTATTTTAGGCCCTCCTAAATTTTCCTGCCTCCGTAAATCTTCAATTCCTGCAGCTAAGCTTTTTAAAACCTGGTTATGTCGCCACGTATACCGGCCTTGCGACAGACTAACCTTACAGCCTGACAAAATGTGCTTTAAAGTTGCAGTACCTGAACACAATGAACATAACGGGTCTCCATTTACCCAGAGTTTTAGGTTCTGGGGAGTTGGCAATACATCATATGTTGCCCCTATCAGAAATCTAATACTACTTTCCTCCATACTCCACAGCTCTTTCCAGCTAAGCTTTTTCTTGTCTACACCTTCCCAATTCACCCACTGTCCCTGCTTAGCCTGGGCCACTGCCTTTGCACCCCTTAATATTTCCTCCTGTCTACGAATCTGTTCCACAACTAGCTTTCTCTTTTCCTTGGGACCTGTATTTATACCTGACAAACAAGCATACCTGATCCTTTTTAATACACATTCTGACACATTCACAATTTTTTAGTAGTTTATACATTCTGTCCTTGAACACGCCTTTTGAGATAAGACAAGTCACTCCTGCATGATTACAAAGCCTGAGGAAGAAACTTGCTGCTCATAAAGTTTACACAATGAGTTTTCTCTAAGTTATAGTAGTTAAAAGAAATCATTTAGTTATTAGCTCTTTTACCATTTAACTATCTTCACTTTATCTACCTGCCTTGGAGATGCATGTGGGCCCTCTTCTACCTGTGCTGCTACAGCATTTGTGACACTCATAATTGCTTTTGTAGAAGCTACACAAGATGCAGTATACTGGATTATGTAGTAGGACTCCTTAATACTTTTTGTTTATATTTTGTCAGTTTATCTGTTACAGTTAAGCCCTGAAAATATTCATGACATTCATTCCTGATTCCTTGGCTAACTTTACGGGAAAATTAGTTATAAAAAGCTGACTACATGAACTGTCTTCCCGATATGGGGTCAGCCCTATGTTCCCACAGCCCTATGTTCCCACAGCCCTATGTTCCCACATTTCTAAGAATGTTTTGAAAATTAGGCCCTATTTTCCCACAGTCTTATATGTTCCCATAAGCCCATGTCCACACTAACCCGGGTAATATTTATCCGGTTAGCCCTTCCATCCACATTAGAATGGTGAATTCCGTAACTGAAAACGATGCTTTACAAAAACGATCGCTGAGGTGGATAAATGTGAAGACGCCGTGGAACGTGGATGCAAAGCATTCTGAAAGGGTATAAAAGGGGAACATAGGGCTGTGGGAACATAGACACGCTCCCTTGATATATAGCTTAGTGTGCACCACCCTTGCCTTGCAAGCTTTCTTTAGCAGCTTGTAAGTTACTTAAATTCCCATATGAAAATTGGCCATTTTATCCTAGGTTCTTCCTTTATAATCCAATGTACATATACTCAATGACAAACACCAAGATTTATGCTGGCACAATTGTGGAAATCAAGGGTAATTTCTCTTGCTGTACATTGAATGAACAGCTTGTCTCTTTAAAGACTTTGATAAGGACCATGAGGGACACTGGGACACTGTCTACAAGTCATAGCTTGATCATGTAAACTGGAGCTGATTACATCTGTTTGTGTGGGCTCTGGGTGTCATCCTTGCACCCCCCACCTACCTAAAACAACCCAGGAGCAGACTGAATGGACTTAGCGTTTTACATAACTAGGTTAGGTGTTAGGTGATACTACGTGAGGACCACCTAGTTCACATGGGAGGGCTTTGTTAACAATGGATAAATTGTACCTTAAGAGATGGTGTCTTAGTATATATTAAAATATGTAGACAACATATAACCATGATTGGTTACTGCTTATTCTTTATTCTTGTTAAAGGAAAGAGTGGGGATACATGTCAGAACTTTACTTTTTACTTTCACTTTTTTTTTTTAATCTTTTTTGTGAAAAGTTTAAACTCAAGTATGACAGTCATAACAACACAATAGAGTAATGTAGACATAAGAAACACTGATACATGGTTAAGCAACAAAATCAATAAATCTGCATCTCATTAATAAACATATGAAGAAATATTTGTTTTGATACAATCAGTATAATTTTACAGATATGAGGCAGTCCATGAATATATGTTGGTCCTCATTACACTTTGGTCTATAACACAGCACTATTCAGCAGTGTGTTTTTCAGTGTTCAAAAAGATTCCTGTGCCATACTATTTGGGAACAGTTGTTTGGAAGTTCTCCAAAGGCATAAGTACATCTCTGACTAATTTCCTTGTGGGATAAAAAATCCATGCACGTCCTTGTGGAGCTCAGTGTTCACATATGCTCGAGCAACTTCCTTGAATGTCCTGCCATCAAGAATCAGCATGAAACAAGGCTGGCCTGGGTTGGAGTTGATAACTGATACTAAAACCACACCTGCAAATAGAAAGGAAAGGGTGTAATGTAAACACAAAGCAGAAAATCAAAAATCTAAGGAATCACATCAGATGAAGGAAGGTTTTCAAATTTAGTTTTAGTTAGTTAATATCCAGTCTTGCCAATACAGATGTAACCAGTGAGGAATCTGGTATTCCTTTGTACTCTAGCTGATACTATAATAATAATACCATACATACTGCATACATGCCGTACATTGTGCATGCCCACCACACATTATTCTCACCATCATCCTCTGACTCTCCGTTTGGTCTGGGGACGAACACCGGCTCTGATGGCCAGCAGTTATCTTCAGTCCAGTAGACCATTTCCTTGGTTTCCGTGTCAAACTTGGCGATCTTCAGTAAATGAATAGATTAGGAAAAATAATCAATACAATTTATGCAAATTATTTTTCCTAATGTTATATTGTGTTGGGTCTCTTTAAATAATATTGTAAAGAGTAAGGTCTACACCTGCTCTACATGAGTGCTTTGAGATAGCTTCTGCTATGATTTGTTGCTATATGAATAAAATTGACTTGACTTGTGTATATACTGTTATTAGTATGTATTGCTATCACTGCTTGTCGGATACAGTAAGGAAAACTCTGAGTGCTGGGAAGGACCTAAATGAAACCCTGTGTTGTTTTGTACAGATAAGCACTGTGCTCGCACAGTACTTTGTCCCAGCTACAAGCCATATACTTGGGAAAGAGTTATAAAATTGTAAAATAGACCATCTTAGTTTTGTCAGTAGGCTGTGCCCATTTACAAACTGGCAGCAACTCCTTCCCTAGTAGTAGCTGGGTTGACTTTTGTCACAGTGACAGATCAGATTCACTAATCATTAGGGAATCAAGTAATTTTTTCCCAGACAAACAACGAGATGCTAATACTTCCTAGTGCTACAGAGCAAGCTGTTTCCTTAATATAAAATAAAATAAAAATGACCTGTAATCATGGTCATGTTGTGGTTGTATAGTGGCAGACAATGTTGCTTTTAGTAACTTAAACGCAACAGAACATTGCTGTGAATGAGTCATGATTAAATGAATGAATAAATATATAAAAGCGTGATTGCTTAATTCAGTCCAGAAGTATAATAAGTAGCCTTATGTTGAGTTCATTCACGACAACAAGACAAGGCGGTAAAATGATTGTGTACGTTGGAATGTATGAAAAAAGTGTGACTTCAACCAAAACTTTTTTTTTCATAAAAAATAAATGTAAGCATATTCCAAGGCTTAAGCTACTGTAAAATGACCTATCTTCCTAAAAGTAAGCTCTAGCAATGGCATAGTCTGGATTTATGACCTATGTAACTTACTGACAGTGTTATATACCACAAAGTAGGAATACTTGTACAATTCATAACTCAGCCATATACAGCCACCCTGCAATAAATACTACCTTTTTGTTTTTGTTGCAACTGTGTCAGCAAATGCTGATTCATCACTGAGGTCACTTTTTAGCTTTACCTGACCTACTGCTAGCTTGTGGTAATTATTGTTGATACGGTTGGCAGTGATCCAATTAAAGCAAGTTATGTTCTTGAAAGAAGTTTTATCACTTCTGACACGATCAGCTTTTAATCAAGTTGGCATGGAATTTGAATACATACATACATATAAGTAAATCTAAACATTGTCTTAGTTGATGAGACAACTAATCATCATAACTTTTGCTTCAAATAGAGTTTTTTGCCTTTTTCATTCATTTCCATGTCCAAACACCATTAAAAGTCAAAAGAATCAAAGGTTATCCTGTATCACATGTCAAGTGGGAATTAATAAAAATATCTAATTGTCTAAACCAGGATGTTTCCTTTTGTACCTTCCTCTTTGCACACATTATACGTCTGGACTGGATACACAAGGGAATCTCTTCCACAATAAGACCTTACTCAATACTTTGAAGCCTCACTGAGTTTATTGCTTCTTTCTATTGTTTCTGCTACCTTGCTGTACAAGTATGCCCAATGGAAAGGATGTGGGTATTACAGCCAGAGCCATTAAGTGGTTTGGTCTTTGTCGGTGCAAGTCGTAATTTACATTTCAACAGTGTTTCCTATCTTCTATTGCGCCAGCTGGTAATTCTCAGTTTGGCAATGTGCATCCTAATTCTGTAATAACAATGCTGTCAGGAAATCTGTTTCCCATTAGCCTTGCATGTAAAATCCTCTATTTTTCAAGAGTTTAAAGTCTCTCTTGGCAAATAACCCTTATGAGACTAGACGGATGTACCCAACACTTTTGTTCTGCAATAGCTAAATTAAAAACAATAGGGAACATTACCTGTTTTGCTAGTGCAGATTCCTCCACACAGTTCCCATAGACAAACCGGTGCCTCTTGCTGTTGAAGTCATAATTAATTCTGGGTAATTCGAAGCCTGGTGGAAATAAAATGACAATTTCCCTATTTGTATGGACAAATCAATTAAAGACACTCTTGAAGACACAATGGGCAATAATTATTTGATTTGGTCTAAGTGTCTATTGGAGAGGCTTGTTTTACCTTCTAAGAGCACTTCAGCCTGGCACATTAGTTTGCCTTCTTTCTCCTTCACAGCACTGGCTGTCGTGTATTTGAGTTTCACCAGGTCCTCTCCAATTGCAATGCCCTGCAAAACCCAGACAAAAAGTAAACTATAAGTGTCACATCTTATCAAAATGTCACAATGAAATCAATTTGTTTAAAATTCCCACCTTGTCTGAATGGATGGGAATTGCAAATCTTCTGTAACTTGGTTTGGAGTAGCCCTCGTCATGGAACCCAGTGTTTTCCCTCAGCTTGCTCAGGTAGAACATATCATAAAGACTGTTATCATTGTAGGCAATGACATCGAAGATCACATGACCGTTGTCCTCAAAAGCATTCACATGATGGTAGACGACCATTGCTCCAGTGTAGAACTTTGTCTCAACTTCTTTGCCAGTCTTTCTGTCTATCAGGTGGATCAGAGTCTGATGAAGAAATAATAATTAGGAAAGACATTACAGAGTAATGTTAAATACAGTATTTAGATCTAGAGTCAATCCCACCCTACCAAGGTTTTCTACTGTCCGTAACACTGGTAGACTCTTTTCCACTGGTGTCTAGAGCTGCTTCATACTTAGTTCAGTAGAATGAATATAAAGAATAATATACATAGAAATAATCAAACACAGATGGCAATGGTCCCTTACATTTTCCTCAGGGCAGAATTTCAGGCAGCTTGCCCAGTTGACTCCCCTCATGTATGCAGTGGCCATCTTGACGATGTCCAGTTTGAAAGGCTGCTCAATGAAGATGAAGTAGTTGTCGGTCATGCCAAAGCTATGGTAGTAGCTGGGTGTGAGAAGGGAGCGGCAGGGAACTGTGCAGATCACCTCCACATTCTTCAGTGCAGGGACATTCTTGCCTTTGTCTGAAAGGTAAAATGACACAGAAACACAGAAAATTAGCATAATCTTGTGTTACACCATGACTTTTAACATTTTCTACAAGTACAGCTGATAGGAAGAGAGAACACTGAGAGGACAGGACAAAGTAGAGCAGGTGATGAGGTTCATATACCTTTCTCTGACGCTGTAGGGACTTTAAACAGAATATATTTAGTCTTTCCCTTCTCTGCTATTGAAGTTCCAATGTTGTAGGCATTGCCCTCCTTGTCATAGTGTGGATGGGATGAGGCCAAGTTTACAGCCAGATACTTCATGTAGTCCACCTGTGTGAAACAGTTTAGAAACACATGAACTTTGAAACTCACTCTTCCCTTCATTGTGTGTTACTTGTGGTCAGAATCAGCAGATGGTTTTACCTTGTCCTGAGTTTCCAGGGTCACAGGATCAATCTTGCGAATGTAGTTCGTTTCAGATGTAGCATAGTAGTCGTTTCCATATTTCATGAAGTTGCTTGCGCCATTGTCAGTAAAATCAGGCACTGTGTGGTTGAGAAAGGTAATTGCCCTGTAAAGTAAGGGGAATTTCTCGTTTAAATGATTTAGACAGGGAGGTAGGGGATTATCCAACACAATAGACCTAATTTTCTCACACCAAGGGTCCTGCACAGACATGTAATCTGCATCTTAATGACAAATCCACAACAGGAACGGAAACAACAGGTGGATTCTCCAACACAAAAGACTGATTATCCTCACATTACAGATCCTTTGCATGATTTGCATCTCTAGGATTACCCCCATTTCACAAAAACTGAAAACTTGAAACTATATTATAAGTTTGTAAATAAATTAAATAAGATTGCTATAGTGATACTATCAGAGAAAAAGATATGAGTATGCTTACTTGACAATGAAGTTCTTGCTTGGGTCTGGATAGGCCATTGTCCCCATTTCAGACACAACTATCCTGTTTGCTTCCATGTTAGCTTTATAGGTGTCACTTCTAAGGAATCTGCTTCTGTGGGTCATTTCACCTGTAAGAAAAAAAGCCATATTTGTAGCTTCTCTGCACACTGACATACAATGACGTGAAAACAAAGCTTTCAGGATTTCCTATACGATATTTCACTAACTACACCTGAATGGCATTTAGACAGGAATTGCAAGACCAACCATCTTTAAAGGCAAAGCTGTGCATGATGGCCATCCCATCAAACCAGTGGTTGTAGCTGGTGTCCCCCACGGAAAAGATGCCAGGGCCATTGCGTAGCAGTATGCCTTGAAGCCAGGTGGGAATGCTCCCTATTTAAAAGAAACAGAAAACCACAAAACCTTCAGCAATATAATTCAAGTCAGTGTATCTGTTCTGTATCTGGTCCTTCAATAGAGCAAAAACTTGACCTACCTTTTACTTCTGCCTTAAAGGGCTCTGGCCTCTCCACTGCGTTCTTTGAAAAGTCTGTGGCCATGTTTGCTGACAGAGGACTGAGGAACACTTGGAGGTGCCTGAATAAATAGGCCTACAGCAGACCGGCAACTGTGAAAACCACTCCCTTTGTCTTTCTTGGGATTTGTCAAAGGGTGTATTATCTTATCTCCATGCAGAGATGACCGTCATCTGTGAAGATTTCATTGAAATCTTGCAGCTCAGTTCAGCGAAATGCTCCACTGGGTTAAGGTTGTGGGTTATGAGCCAATTTAAATGCAAAATTAGAATCAGCCCATTTTGTCTTTACATAAGATATAGTTGCAGCTTACTTCTTACTGCACCTTTGGTCTTCTCTGACTAGATAACATAATCTGCAATTCACTTTTATTGACCACCGTGTATTTTTTATTTCCTTTTTGATTTTGATTCAGACTGTTGAGTTGAACTCTGTATAGCTGGCATTTTCTGGAATTAGCATATTAGGTAACTTCTTCCTAGTAGTAGTTTAATGTGAATATAGAATGATCTTATCTGTTTTGGTGAGCAATGTTGCACAATATTGCCTTAGAGCCCTTCATCACTGGATAACATACCCTTCACTATTATATACATGTATATTTGTTTCTGTAGAATTATTTTTCTCTGAAGGTTGTGCAGAAATGACAGATGAAGTTAGTAACAGTGAACCATTACCAGCCTTTTATCTTGTGCTTGTTCTCTCTCTTTCTCTCTCTCTCTCTCTCTCTCTCTCTCTCTCTCTCTCTCTCTCTCCCTTTCTCTCTGTGTTCAAATGTGTGTGTAAAAAACAATATCAATAATATTTGTATTAGGTCATTGTCAATTGTATTGTGTCAGTTTTGGATGACCTGCCAACCCTGATGACAAACCCATAACTCAAAAAGTGATAATACACCATATCATATTCAAGGTGAAAATCAGCTTTATTCTTTTATGGCGTTCGTATGTTTGTTTCTCAGAATAACCAGCTGCTGACATAAGCGTATTTATCCTTAGATGACCAGAGGCAATCTGCAGTGCAGCAGGGGCAGGGGCTACTTCTTATCTATATCCTACTCTCAGCTGTAGTGATGATCTAGTTTTTTCTTAAAGGTCATTGAAATTCAAATGCACTTTAAACATTGATATGAACCCAGCTACAACACTTAGTAGAATTCATATCTCTACCAACTCAGTTACCAAGAAACACTGGTCAGATTTTCACTAAACATGCATTTCTTAAATGCACGTTAACAACTTGTTTCGCAACAAGAGATTCTCACTCTCTGTACGATCGGACTCTGTACAGTAACATGTTTGTTCAAGACTGGATGTAGGCTATCTTATTTTGTTTTAAATTATTGTCATTATCTTATTAACAACAGATATTCAGTCAGTCATTTGTGTGTTATGCCCACTGCGAACACACAAAGTAGACAAACAGACGGTGTCAGAAGGTGTGGTATTACAGTTAGCCTAAAAAAGACTTGCTATTATTTTAATTTAAGATTTAACAAGTTTAGCAACCATAAAACACTAAAATAATAGTAGTAAATAGAGTTACTACATGTTTCACACTCGCACTTCACACTCTAGCCCCTTTTACACTTGACAGACAAAAAAACTCGCTAACACCCGCTTCCTTGTGAAAAGATACAAACGGCAGTCGCGGGTAGGATATTTATCGGTTGCAAGTCTGATCGGCAGAGTGCTGTTAAACCAGAAGCACCGCAGCTACACCGTCCGCTGAGAGGGAGCAGAGGCAGTAACTAACACACATTCACCGACCGAGGCGTCACGCATGGAAGCTCCGACCTAAAGAGGAGCACCAGACTGCATGGCAGTTTCTGTTTCTCTATTTCTTTCTCCTCTTCTCTCTTCTCTCTTTCTCTCTCTCTTCTGTCTTCTCTCCTCTCTCTCAAAATACTCTCTCTCTCTCAAATCTCTCTCTCTCTCCTTGTGTGCGTGCGTGCGTGTGTGCCCTCAAACAGCATGTTCTGGCTTTGCTTCCTGCAGTTCTGTTTCCTCTTAGTCTGAACAGAAAGGCAAGCTTCTGGCAAAGTGCATTGCCTTTTTAGGTTTACCCACGTTGAAAAATCTTCAATCAGTGGTGGAGGAAGTATATATGCTTTAAAGGGAGCTTTATTTAAATAGAAGTAGCAATACCACAGTACAAGTCCCACATTTCCCTCACTTTCTAATTAAGTTAGTAACAAAACGTAGCTACTTAAAGTATTAAAAGTTAAAGTACAGAACCTTTCAGAGTTATATTTTCCATATACACTACTATATATTATCTGAATCGTATTACTTTATTGTTAACATAAAAGCATAATTATAATATTGTCAAAGGTGTGCTTAACTTTAACAACCTATTCCGTTTTTAAACAAATATGTACAAGTGTATTTACAGGTATATTGTTGTGCAATCAATATCTTACATGTCTCAATTTGAAAAAAATAACCAATAACTATAGCTGTAAAATAAATGCAGTTGAGTAAAAAAGTAGCTGAAATGTAGTGTAGAATGTAGTGTAGAAATATAAAGCAACATAAAATTTAAATTCCACCAATACTTTGAATACTAAGTCATCAGGTTTCTGTGTGTGTGTGTGTGTGTGTGTGTGTAATATTGTCTAAAGGTAAGGGAGTCTTGAGGACAAAAATGTCCTTCAATCATGTTTCTGATTGAAGGACAATTTTATAGATGTTTCCTGCCTGGCAGGAAACATCTGCCTTGATAATGGTCCTGCACTTAAGATGAGCCAGACAGGCTAAGTTATCGAATAACTGTTACTGAAATCCTTGGATTCAAGTCTTCTTTTGAGTGTTTATTTTTATTTTCTACACCTTCAAGTCAAATTAAGTAGCAGATGGATCTTAAATAGTGATTTCAAAGTCAACAAAGGTAACAGATAGGCTGATAGAAAGATGTGGGTGGATTAGTTGCCTTTGGGTCGAGCCAAAATGACTGCTGGTTTTTAGTCCAATTCATAATAAGCACAGTTCTACCCTCCTCTTTTTGAGTTTCTCAGTAGGTCCTGTTGAAGAAAATTCACTCAAGTCCTTAGTTCCAAGTTTGCTGTCGTGGAGTGAGTTTATTGGTATTCCAGAATACAGTGAGCCTACTGACACAGAGCGGGTCAGAGGCAATAGACTGACCCAGAGTGAAGGGCGGGGGGGGGGGGGGGGGGGGTAAGGTCTGGGTATTGTAAGATAGTGAGGAATTTATCAATACAAAGGAAGAGGGCAGACAGGCGTGAAGTCCCAGCTGTGACCCAAATGTGTATTTTCTTCGTCAGTCCCTCAGTGGAGCTCAGCTAGTCTGTTGGTAACATAAAGTAACTGGCAATAACAAACCAACCTGTCCAATGTCTTGAAGTATTTATGTCCTAAGAGAATATACCTATAATCACAATCCACCCTTTTTGTCCCATTTAGTCCAATTTGTGAGGTTTAACTGAGGAACAGACAGTGTGACACATTTACTGTGTGGTAACAACAGTCATGTATGGTCTATGGCAAGTCAAGCAAACCTGCACTTGGACAGTAGTATTTACGACTATGGTAAACACATCAATGAGTTTACCCTTTTCATTGATGATGACTAGCAATCAAAACACCTTTAAACTACAGCCCCCTATTGGCAACAGATTTCTCAAGTGACGTCAGAGAGAGTAAAAGTACAGAACAATAATGCCCTCTAGTGGCCCATGTAAGACATTACATATTATGGTAAAGAACATCTCATGGAGATTCACACAGGTCATCTTAATGATGACAATAGTTTTTCATTACATTGATTAAGACAAAAAAAATAAAACAACAGTTAACTTTAAGACTTAAGCACTAATATTTAGTATTTGAAAATTTTGGGTAAGAATTACATAACTTGAATTGTCTTGACAGAAACCCTACTAACACCTTCACAGATTGAAGTAAAATAATGTAGCTGATTAAGATTTATGTAGTATTGTTTGACAATATTTTGCCTTGCTTTTACCAGTACGGGGCAGAAATTATCTTTGTTTTGTAACCAAAAGCCTTTTAGGTCCAGGGGTTTTCAGGACATTTTTTAGGAAAAGTTTTTGAAAAATAAACTACAAGGACAACATCCTTCAATGTAAACCACAGAAGGTGGTATTATTGTTGTGACCATATACATTTAAAATGGTAGGTATCAATGGTGTTGTAAGACTTAGAAGTGCTTTGGTAGTCTTAAGTTTCCTTGAAATATGGCTCATAGAAATTCACCCAACTATGCACTGTAATAGCTGCCAGGAGAAAGTCAGTAATAAAATTGACATAGCAAAGTTCATTCTGAATATTTATTAACAGTGAAATGTTCCGACAGCTTGCTTTCTTCAAAGCAAATCACTTGAGCAAAAAAAGGACAATGATGTCTTAAAGTAATAGTGTTTAAGACTAATTAGGCTCTTATGTTAACATGTCCCACCCAGATGTAATGACTTGGATGACTTAGCGCAGTGAAATCCACATAACACATTATGTACTCAAATGCGCCAGCAAACTTTTTTCCTGATTGATATACATCACATCAGTTAGTTTGTATTTATTGTAATGAACAAATGAAAATGTAAATGACAAATATTTTATCATCTCCAACACATTCATAGAATGTCACTAAACACTCCACCTACTCATGTCTCTCCTCCATACAGAACAGAACACCAACACCAACATCAGGTTAACTAGCTGACAGCAGCAACATGCTGTTACCATGACAACTGCTTTGTTTCACATTTACTTCTCTTGGATTAATAAATTAAAGACAATGGTACGCAGATGATGCAGGATGCTAATAGTATTAATGTTTATTTGCGCTGCCCAGGTTATAAACTGTGCTGATTAGTATTCAAGTATTCCCTTACTGATTACTTCTGTGCTGGATATTATACTAAATATCTGCTTTATGATGTTCTCATCACATCATCATCATCATCTGTGGATTACATTATGCAGCACAGTACAAGAATAACGCTTAATTAAACATTATGTACATGTACTAAGAAAAAGAAAGCAAAGAACAAAACTTGTCTCGCAAATGTATATGCTATTTTGTTTATAGTGCAATCCCCATGCAATACCACATGCAGTTATAGAGGGTGCATGAAGAAGACCATATTTACCATGCATGACCTTGCATACAGAGCCATCCGATTCTAAGAGAGATGGTAGTCTGCTGCTGTCCTGAAACCCTTACATGATTTCCAATCAGACACTACACCCTAAATCCTTTCTAAGATGTGTGATAGTGATATTTTCTTGTAATGCAGATGACATACACCCATAATGAGTCATCCAGTCCACCCTGTTCCAAACACACTGGTCTGATGGCATAAGTTTTACCAAGGCAAAACTAATCATCATTACTATTGTGACTATCCACAGCATGCATTGTGAACAGAACTGATCTGAACCATTGAATCATGGTTGCAAGTTGGCACTATTGAAATCCTCATGGAAGAAAAGAAAAAACAACAAAAAAAAAAAACATCATCCTATGACGACACCATAAGTTTTCACCATGGAGTAGTAATGACTGAAGCATTGGCACATATACATAAATTTTTGAAATTTTAAAAACTGTAACAAAACCAAAAGCACTAAAACAACCAGCCATAACCAGCCTCTTGGTTTTACATTGAAACTGATCAATTACAAAGGCAAAACAATCACATTAGACGAGCATCAGACATGGAAAACACAAGTAAATCACAGTGTTTTGATGAGTTTGGTGTGTCATAATATTCACTGTGCAATCATAATTGGTTTTAAAAAGGCAACAAAATCAAATTCTGAACATAGCAAGGCGTACTTTAAAAATTAGCAATCCCTTCTCTTCACAAACATTTGACAGCTTTTGATGTACAGCTCATAAAAAGATACATTTACAATGAAAATTCGAGTACATGTTCTGGAAATCATTCATTTTAACTTTTAATTTGAACAAATGATACATCTGCTTTATATACCTTTGAGCTGAACTGTGTTCAGAGCTGTATGATGGTCAGTAGAATGATGCTTAAGAAAACAATTAAAACATGAATTTTCACAGCTTTTCCATATATTCATATCTACTGAAAACAAAACACTGTCCTTGTATCCATCTGATGATAAATATGGAAGTGCACATCATGATTAACAGCTAATTGGAAATTATATATAACAGAAAGCTATTCTTATTACAATGCTCTTAAAGAATCACAAAATATTTTTGACATGAACTTTTACCATCCGAAACACTGATTATTGTCTTAGACTTTACACAAAACTAAAATCTGCTGCAACGAACTCATTCATATTAGAAATGAAGGTACTGAAATCATGTACTAAATAGAATTTCCTGGTTAAACTCAACTCCTCCTTCACGGAAAACACACTATAGCAGCATGCAGCTTGTTGGCAAATGTTGCCCAGGGTAAAATTAACAGTTTGTGCCTAAAAAGATATCATAAATAGTGTGAATATTACATAAACCTCAGATCAACACCTGATGATGGAAAAAGAATAAGAGTGTCAGAATCCTGCTAACATCTCCCATCAAACCTCTTAGTATAAATGGAACATTTGAAAGAAGTCATTCTGTAATCTGTGTTTAACTTTGTCAATGACACTGATTCTGTATGAGCACTCCAGGTCAGTTTCACCCCTTAACATGCAATGCACAATGTGAAATAAATATAATGCTGACTCCCATGTCAAAGTGTCAACAAAATATTGTTGTTTATGTAAGGTGAAACATTTTGTTTGCATTCTTGGAAATATCTGGTTGTATACACATTAAATTGTGGATTTACAAATCAAATGTTAACAGTGTTAACTGTTCTTGCATTGCTTAATGTCAGAGTAAAAACACAGTATTGACATTCAGTTTCCCTTTTAGCACCTCTGTACTGACGTATCCTGTACATCAGTGTCCTGTTTAACTGTTTGTGTTTTTAAAAACCCATTTGCCTCGATCCCTGCAAGACCAAAGAAACATTCTACAGTGCATTCATATTATCCAGTATCCAGACCCCTTCACTTTTTTCACTAAAATTGTTTAAATTATTTTTTCCCCTAATCAATCTACACTCAGTACCCCATAATGACAAGGTGAAAAGAGAATTTGAGAAAGTGTTTTAAAAAGGAAAAACCTCACATTGACAAAAGAGTTCAGACCCTTTTCTATGACACAGTTTAGCTCAGATGCCTCCCATTTCTCTTGATCATCTTTGAGATGCTTCTACACCTTGATTGGAGTCCACCTGTGGTAAATTCAATTGATTGATTTGGAAAAGCACACACCTGTCTATATAAGGTCTCACAGCTTTTGCATATTAGAGCAAAAAACAGCCATGAGATGAAAAGAACTGCCTGCAGAGCTTAGAGACAGGATTGTGTCAAGGCACAGATCTGGGAAAAGTTAAAAGGTCTAGGACAACCATCACTGCAGCACTCAGCTGATCTGTGTTTTATGGCAGACCAGCCAGACTGAAGCCTCACCTCAGTGAAATACACATGAAAGCTGCTTGGAGTTTGCAAAAATGCTCGTAAAAGACTCTTAGATGGTGAGAAACAAGATTCTCTGGTCTGATGAAACCAAGATTTAACTGTTTGGCGTCAATTCTAAGCGTCATGTCTGGAGGAAACCACTCAACACCTGCAGATTACCTTCCCAATGGTGAAGCATGGTGATGGCAGCATCATGCTGTGGGGATGGGTTCTTCAGCAGCAGTGGCAGGGAGAGTGGTCAGGGTTGAGGGAAAGCTGAATGCAGCAAAGTACAGGGATGGCCTTAATGAAAAGTTGAAGAAGACATCAAGGGTGCTTCAACTAAGTACTGAGTAAAGGGTCTGAATACTTAAATCAAGGTGATATTACAGCTTTTCCTTTTTAACAAATTTCCAAAAATGTATTTAAAAATAAAAATCAGATTTTTGCCTTGCCATTATGAGTATAGATTGATGAGGGAAAAAATTAATTCAAACAATTTTAGCGTAAGGCTGTAACATAACAAAATGTGAAAAAAATGAAGGGGTCTGAACACTTTCTGAATGCACTTTACATACAGCATACCAATGCCTGTTCAACCCTACATTATTTAAATTAATCATTCAAATGTAAACGCTACCAAGACTCAGATATTCCAATAGATTTCTTAAAGACTGGCTTTCTAAATGAAACTCTTAGTTGAATGACAGTGGATGAATGATGAATTGATTCATTCATACTTTTTATTCTCTGTGATTACACTTTAGAAGATCTGATTGTGACTTAATCAATTCCCTGCAAATTTATCTCAAGGAGGAAAAAAAAGAAGCTTGACCTCTCTCCCTCAACAGGCATTTGACATGATTTTATGGCACTAACCATTATTGTGGAATCACTAAATGTTTTCGTGGATCCCTCAAATCTTTGCTTTGTCATTAACATGAACTTAAATTTTCAAGTCTTTTGTTGAGCAATAAGTTTGTAAAGAACGGTAAACTTTTTGACAATTTGTGTTGTGGTTGGGCTAACAGTCCACTGTCCCATGACAACCTCTTTTGTGTAGTGGTAAATTGTTCAAGAGAAAAATAATTGACCATGCACACAGAGTATTGCTAAGACGTCATTTCATGGCTTAAGGATGGCCAGTTAAATGGTCCATCAGTACATCTCAGTGACTGTGCCCCCTTGCCAAAAAAATCTGTTTTCCTCATTACATACGGCCCTTTAATGTCACTAGTCCCAGGTGTGTTACTACTGAAGCAGCTTGACATGTAAGGGTCCAAACTTCTGCTCACCAATGCACTGGCAGTGATGTCATTTTGTCACTTTTGTGGCATTTCCACACCACTGACATCCTGGTTCCCTTAATCCGTCTTCCCATTCTCCTGAGGTGTGCCAGCTTTGTTCCGGTGTGCCGAGCGCAACACCTTGTAGCAGCCGCGGGCAATCTTATGCATCCACATAATGTTCATGATGTCCAAGCAGATACTGGAGCAGATCCAAGCCACACGGCCACCCCAGGGTACAAGGTAGAAGGCCTCAGTGCCATAGACTGCATACATACGACTGTAGTAGACTGGCATGACAGCGATGCGCACCATGAAAAAGACTACTGCCATGGCAACGCCATTTGCCATGTTGGGCCTGGAGGACTTGGGATAACCTAGTACCTCAAAGAACCAGCTGAAACACAACACATAGTTGAGAAAATTGTGTCTAGCAGGATGAAGATGTGAATATGAAAATGTTGATATATACAGTAAATATAAAAACAGTTACATGACTGTATGTTAGGCATGACCAGATAAGTGGTTTAAAAAGGACTCAAAGAACCAGATTAACACAAAGAACATGCAACCAGCGGTGGATTTCCTAAATATGATTAAAATTCCCAACAATTAACACAACCTCAGACATATAATCTGCAGAAATGTTGTAGAGCTCCAACCATGATTTTAGAGACCCACAGCCCAGATCATTAGTAAGCTGGTACGTACCGCTGGTTCACACATGGTGTAGAAAACTCAGCGAGCAGACGGAAGTTAGCAAAATAAGGCAACATTCCTTGGCCCTGGAGGAACAAGGCAAGAACAGGAAGACAACAAAAAATGAAAGGGACAAAAACAAGACACTGAGTCATTTGGATCAGCATGCATAAAGGTGATGCACCATCTGCTCCTCAGGATAACACAAACAGCATTTCTTATCAATATCATAAAACAACAGCAGCAGTTACATACAGCAAAGATCTTGGCAAATCCCCAAAACAAAGGTATGTCTTAAATTCAATAAAGACTAAGGTATGTCTTAAATTCAATAAAGACTTTTCGGGACATAACCATATGATATTTCACATTTTATCACGCAGTTCAAAAAATTAAGAAATACTTTTACAGCATGGGGAACACAGGTCTAAAATTAGATGAAACCCCCTCCAAATTTAGAGCCATTTGGCAGATCTAACAAAAGACAGTTCTCCAACAGGGCACATAATTATTCCTTCAAGTTTTGCAGGCCAAAATTAGACTATCATCCCTAATTTCCTTTCCTAATGATTCATTCTCTTCATTTATTGTGAGCTGAAACTCATCCTACACTATGAGTTGGATACAAAGAACTCATGAGGTACAAAATAATATAAATCTGGACAGTAACTATAGGTAAAAGCAATGGATAAATGGACTGACCAACCAACATATAAAGTGTCTCAATATCAAAGAGAATTAACAACAAGCTGTTCATCATCTTCTATCCTTTAAAAGCGACAGTACAAGATTCAACATGCACATAAAAATAGGCTTTTTTGCATTTTATTGAAGTAATAATCCCCAATGCATCGTCACAGCAAACTATATGCTAACTATTGCTAGGCTTTTCATCCTGAGAGCAGAAAAACATACTGTTAGGACCATACAACATGATAATTCATCTGAATAACATCTCAACATTAAAAGGTATTGAGCACATATCAAAACAACACAGGCTTTGATACATATATCGTACAACCATACATACATATATTCAGCCAGCCACTATTTCAAGGAGCAATCAAAAGCCATGCAGAGTAAAAAGTAATATGTTTTAACTGCCAAACATATTGCTGTTTAGAAGATCAGGGCCTGAATTCCACATCATCTCTTGTCAGGTATGAAATAAATGAATTATGAGTGCTTGAGACAATTCCTAATGAAACTAGCAATACTGGCAATGATACCTGATTCTAAAATGTAGTTTCTGACCTGGACAAAAGCTGTTATGAAGCCCTACTATAAGTGATACAAATATAAAATAACAATTACTTTATTTCCATTCCCCTTAATAGAAATGCACAATTTTCAGCTGCTACTAAATATAATGATGAAATGAAAGATGATTTTAAAACGAAGATGCTTTCAGGAGACCTGATCTTAAACACTGTTGACCTGGCCTACCTTTAAACATCGAACACTGAATGATGCTGTTAAAATTGTGCCATTAGCCAAATAAATTTGAATTATATGTCTGACTGAAAAAGTGTATTAGTGAGTGCTGTTATTTGTATCTCAATTTGAATTACAATAAGATAGTTTTACTCAGGTGTTCTAAACTGAATTTTGTGTCTAACTCCGGACCATATAAACAAGTCAAACTCAAAATTAGGATAAAAAAATCATAGTATTAAATTTGACAAAGACACCTAGACAACATAGAATTCAAGGTTACTTGGCTTGTGGCCCGATTTATATAGAGCATGTAAAAGAAGACTTACCGTCAGGGCTGAAACAAAAGCTGTTCATTGAAACATACTTACTATGTGATACAAACAGGGTACATCTGCATTGCAGTTTTTCTACCATATAATGTGATCTTTCCACCTAGCATGAGCATGCTAGTACCTCTAGGAACTGGTAAGTCCATACTGTGACTGGGCATCATATCTGCTCAGTGCAACACAACAGCAATAACAGCAGACAAGACAGGAATAAAGAAGTCCCCATCTAGATCAAGACCTGTGCTGGGTTTCTAAATGATACACAACCTTTTTGGTAGTTTTTGCATGAATGGGGATGACACAACCCAACTTTTTGTTGGTAGTTTTTGCATGTAGGGTTTAAAGAGGGTCTGTTTATGTTAAAGTCAGCAGAGGATACAGAGACAGACAGACAGGTACATTAGAAGAAAAAAAAAAAAAGAAAAAAGATGCCACCACAATTGGAAGCAAATAAGAAGCAACACTTACGACACTCAGAAGAAAGCATGCATCTACTATTTACACAGCATGTTTCCATTTTTTTGATTAAGCTATATTTGACTGTTAAAATGGACACAAAAACAGATTATGCTCCATTTAAAAAAAATTAAAATGGCTGACTAATCAACAATTAAAACATACCAACAAGCTCATGTAATTAAGCCGATTTGTATTTTTTTTAAATAGAAGTTTCCCCAACTTAAAGTAAATTTAAGTAGGCCTTAATTTTGTTGTATGTCTCAGGGTTTAATATTGAATTTACTTTTTTGTGAATTTGACATGTACACTTCCACATAAAGACACTTAACACATTAATCAATAAGACTAAGACAACAAATGACAAGTTGACTGGGTACAAAACTAAAGAAAATGAAAATGACATCAAGGATTAGCCAATTTTATTATGGTTTCTACTGCAAATGTAATAACGCCTACAGTAATGTGACTCGTGATTCGTTTTTTTTCTATCACAGTTGAATAATGCAGAGCATTCATTCTGTTATCCCACATGAATTTGAGATCTAGTCTGAGGAAACCGTCATGATTGTCCAGTAACAGTATGGCCTACTTCATTTCAATTACCTAATTGTTTTAGATACAGGTGATTGCTCTGTTTCTCCAAATGAAAGGCTGGATTTATAGTCAGCAGTAAATTATAATTTTGTTATGACAATGTGACACTATTTAATCTCATTATTAATGTTTAGACACAGAAATGTGTGAAAGTAATAATCCTCAGTAACAATGCAGATATAGACCGATGCAAATATGATGTGTGTCACATTAAAGAAGAAATCTGTAAATCCAGCCACTGACTGGAGCGTTGAAAGGGGTAAAATGTAAATCTGGACTGCAGCATTTACACTAAACACATGGTTGAAACCAAACATCTGTAGTGCTTTACAGCTTTATACCAAGATTTTATGAGTTGCCAATTACAACATAAAACCAAATCTATAGTACAAAGCAATGTAAAGCATTTTTTTTTAATCCAAGAACAGTTGAAGGATGGTGACTCAGAAGCAGAGCAATGCGCAGTGTAAGTCCTCTTGCATTTTTTTATATAGAAAAAATGAAAAATTTATTGTAGGGGAACAAACAGGAATGACCTGTAAGTTTATTTAACTCAAATAAAGTGGGTATAAGGGAAAAGACTGACTTTTAAGATCATTAACAACAGTGATTTCATCAGATACACCTAACAGAGTACATTCAACATGGTATTATAAAAAGCCTTGGCTAATTGGTGATGCACTTTATCATCTGGGGTCATCTTGATGACATTATCTGAGTGGCTTTGACAGTTTTCCCTCATCAGGGAGTCTCAGGAGGAGTGTAAGGAGGAGAAAGAGGAGGCAGCACTAGGCTCTGGCACAAAGACAGACAGGCTGAAGGTTCTGTAGATAGGCAGGTAAGTAATTAGGAGTGTTAAATATTGTTTGTTGGCATGCACAGTAACAAGAAAGGAACCCTGTCTTTATAGAACGCTTCAGAACTGCCAGCATGCACACAGTGGTTACAGTTCAGCATTCGGCTGTGCTAAGCTCAGAACAGCTCAGCTTATGTCACATTCACAAAACATCAAAAGGGGTCAGTAAAACAAACAGAAAGCACAGATATTGTAAGGGCAAGGTGAAGGGGGAGGGTCATCAGCCAGTACCATTATTGAGCATTCCATGCAAAAAATACCATAGTCATTCATCTCTATGATAATTATGCAACAGATCCTGGCGACCTAGAGGGTTTCAGATTGAACCAAGAGTGAAAAGCACTGCCCATAAATGCTGAGTACATTGAACAGTCTCCATGTCTAGATAAGCGCCAACTGTATACTAGCAGTGGAGGAATAACCAATGAGTTACTAATTAGTACTTCAAACTAATTTTGAAATTATTATCAGGCTAAACGTTACAAAATGATACTAATACAGTCTTGACACCAAATAGCTGATTTGATGTATGATGAGGGTCAACCATCATGTTCTTTGGTAAGAGGGCTTTCACAATGCAGCTCAAACAAGTGCTAAACCTGAGTGAAATGTCAAACTAACTTGAAATCTATGGTTATGGTTATGGCTATGGTTAATCTATGGTCAGTTATCCAGCCATCTAAAAAATACAACCACAGAAGAGGCAAGAACATCTTAATACTCACACATCTTAATAGCGTAAGGGCAGGCACACTGACTGAGGATGATTTTAACCATCCATGAGGCTTCCGTCTCTGATGTGTTTGTACAGTTTTGGGTACATCCTTTGCACAGATACTGACTATGCTGACCTTGCCTTGTGCATGTTTAACTAACCTACATGAGCTGCAGGGCTATATGAGGATAGCCATGGACACTTATTGAATAATGGCTAAACAGACAGTTTGACAAGACACAGCTGTTCACCCTTGGTTGTCTCCTTCCCATCTTGCCTGCACGTTCTGCTATTGGACAATAGGGCACTCACCAGTACATAGTAGTAAGCATACAATGCTGCCAGATGGTGAACTACAAAAAACTTGTCGCCTATCGCCTTCCAATAGTAAAATATTAGCAGCAGATCTGGAAAACAAAAGTACAGGGGAGAGACAGAAAACATGTCATTGGTATATTCAAAACATTTAAAGAACATACAAAGTGATAAAAACATATACTGTAAACTTTTAATACTTTATCCAAAAATTGTATATGTGTCTGGTTTTTATTTCTGACCAGGAACTGACACACAGCTGGGCCCAAACCCAAGGGAGTCATCTAAGCATCAAGTTTATTGCATCAACAAATAACAAATTACATGCATGCTCTCTGGGTCCCACTTTTACAGATATTACCTGGGTAAACAGGATGTTTCTCTTACCAGATATGAGGTAGCCTGTTGTGATGGCAACATTAGTCTTCACCAGTGTAGGATCTCCCCTATTAAAAATACACATTTGGTTTGATTGAGTTTGTGTGATTAAATTTTAAAAGAGGCTATTTGTAAGTTTTCTCTCAGGAACGGGTGGTGCAGATTGTCGCTTGACAAGAACTTCAGCCATTGTGTTTAAAAGACAAGAGGTTATAACACACACTCTGAGCAGCGCTACATCTTCAGGGCAGATTGGAGGCTACAGTGAGTTGCTATTGGAAAGTGACGAAATGGGCTGGGGTTAGCATGCTAACAGCATGAAGAAAAGAAATGATAGAAATAGTCAACATTGGAATTACTTTCCACCACTGGGGACAGCTCTTGGCGAGTGAAGGAATGAAGTTTGATGCTGAGCTTGCAGTGTTTCTTCTGCACTGGTAAGTAAACAGCTAAAACTATCTATTTAGCAATAGCAAAACTATAACATAAATAACTCCTTTAAAGTCACTATGTGTTGGTATTGAAAATTTCTGACTATAAAAGGCAGCACCTGAAAAACTTACGGGAATCATCACATAATCAATTCAAAATAAAACTAATTTCCACTCTAGCATGACACATGAGCAGTTTACATTGATAATGGTGGAAGATTTAACACTCATAGTTCTTGCTTTTTGAAACAATGGGTATTTGATTTCAACACAATTAAACAAAGGCAGGTTTTTCATTTCTAATCGATTTGTCGCAGCTGAAATGACAACTGTGGTTAGCAAATTTTGTCAGCTCTAGTTAGCTAGCAAGGTAGAACTAACTCCTTGAGTTGGCTGACTTTACAATGCTTCTAGTTAGCATATTTTAAAACCAGAACAATGTAAAAAGATCTTAAATATCCACGTGATGATTGCATTCTTATTATAATGACTAGAGACTATTGCTAAAGCTACATTCCTCAAAAGTTGATGATCCATGTATATGTAAATAAAGAGCAGCATTGTTGTGGAAGGATAGCTTATCAGCTTTAGTGTTATTCTAAATAAAAATGTAATTAAAATGGTAAACATATCCCAAACAAGGGAACACATTTTGAGAGTGAAGACAGACCTAGCTATCCTTACAGGCTTGGCTGAAGGTGTTGGGGGTGTTAAGTTCCCCAATTCCAATAAAGAACAGGACACGGCTGCTAATTGGCTCTCACACAGGTAACGGGTCATTCTTAAACCTGTTTTTTCTAATATAACCCCTAAACAACATATAGTAATAATGTTTTATGCTGTACGTTACCACTTGGCCTTCGAAGTAATGCTATGTTACAGTGGGTAGTCAGCTAATTAGCTGGGCATGCTAATGTTTATAGCTTACCTTAAAGCAGGCAAACTCAATGTGTAATCCATTCCTCACACTTCTGCTGTTGTGTTTTTGGAAAGAGTAAAAAAGAGACACCAACCTCCAGACTCTATATACACTGCTTCAACAAGACTGACATACCTGCCATGTGTACAGTTGCTAAGTATGGAAAGTAAAGGGGATTCACAAATCTCACCAGACAGGATCTTCATTGACAGCATCATCAAAGAACAAGATGTGGAGACAGAAGATTCCCACCAACAGTGCGTGAAATGTTGACACCGTCCTGAAATGAAAACCATAACACACACAGCTGTGATGATATTCTCCTGTCTTGACACATCAGAGATTTTCTGTTTTTGTCAGAGGAACAGTGTATATTTATCTTCATTTATGAAAAGTGCCTTAGACCTGTTTTGAGTGTTTTAGCGCAGAATTTTAGTACTCACTGTGGATCAACTGATTCCCTGTCAGGTTGGCACACAGATTCAGACCAATTACAATAAGAGATTAAACACTGCTGAAGGGTCAGGCAGAGCAGCACAATCATTCAAGCAGTGAGACAGTCCAACAGTTCTCATCAATCAGTCAGTAAGAAAGAGTGACAGCCTGACTGTAAGATGTTTTTATCCCCATAGTCTACTGTACATCCATCTCTATTAATCATTAATTTTTATTTGCTCATAATAAAACATGTGACTATATCAATTTCACAAGTGCTCTCATGAGTAATAAGCTGAGTATGCAAGAAGAATGAAAATGATTGATTGATTCAGGCTGGACCAGGCTGGTCTACCATCCTGGACATCCACTGTCCCTCAATCTATAGTAAAGCATTCACTGTTCTCATAGTGCTTTATGATAACAGCAGCCTGTCTGTCTCGCTCTACAAACAAATGCACTCCATCTTTTCATTCCAATCTAGTTGTTCTACCAGCATCTGCAATGTTCCCAAAACAAGTTAGCAGATAAAACAGCAATGTGACAACAGATGACATTTGGTTGTTGTCTGATCAAATGGTCCATTCATCAGTATGTACATGTTGGTTGAGTTAGATCCTCAGATGAGCTTGAAATTAAAATGGACAAAAATGAAACCAAAATCCCAAAATGTTCACACAACTATAGTAGCTGGCCCAAGAGGAATCTAGAAATCTGTGTATGTGTTATATCCTACAACTTCCTATATGAGCCCATGTACAGTATACAACAAAATGTACACCCGAGTGCAATATCACTAAAATGTTAAATGATCCAAAACTGCAAAATTTTACAATATTTGTATTATTTTTTAGTAGAGGTGCTGGAGCCAACTGGGCGAGGGTGTACCCCACGCTCGCCCAGTTGGATCCTCGCCCAGCTACTTACATGAGAGGAGAGGGCACACAAGCATCAATAGACTACTGAACATAGGCCGAAACACAGGTGCTGCAGTGGTTAGGAGATATACAGTAGGAAGAGCCTTACTATCAATAACAGAAGGCTCAGTGCCGTTCTTGAAAAATTATGACATGCACAATTTACTATTTACACAACCGGGCTGCCAACATGCAAAAGATTTTACACTGAGCTTTCTATCCTGAAATTCAATGGTGCCAACTAGAATCACATTCATGTAACTCCTCCTCCTTAAAAGATTCTGATATGCCATGCCCAAAGACTTAAACCCAAACGGTACACAAATAACCCAATAGTCATATCTACTTTAAGAATCTGGCAACAAATCAAGCAACACTTTGGCTGGAACACGCTCCTGCTTAACACCCCAGTATGTAATAATGAGCTCTTACTGAAGGCACATTCTCCAGCTTTGCTCAGCTACGTATGTACTACCTTTAATCTGTCCTTTTCAGGTACTTCCAGGTTCAGCAGTTCCTCAAATCAAAAACACCCTCATTTCCAGATGCCCCACTCTCTTCTGTAATTGATAACCTTCTGCAACCTTCTATATCAGCAAGGCAAGCAAATTTAGTCTCATTTGCCTCATTAATAGCCCATCGTAGAATACTTTTATTATGGAAGAAACCATTGCCTCCATCTCCAACCTCATGGCTGAGAGACACAATGTCCTTCTTGGAATTAAAAAAGATTCAATTCTCCATACGTGGCTTGACAGACAAACTTTACAGTCATTGGCAACCCCTGATCACTTATGTTAAGAGTCTGTCTTCCCTTCCCCCAGATTGATTACATGGGTGAGATGGCTAACACAATGTAGCAGCTGAATCCTACATTTGGGCATAAAAACGAAGATCTCCCAGCAATCTGTTTTGCACCGCAAAGACTCATACATGCACACACTACACTTTGTTGTCATTTTCTTTTTTTTCAATTTACTTTATTTATCTTTTTTGTAATATACCTTGCTTTCTATTGTTGTTGTTAGTCCTTTTCTGTTTGTATTATTTCTCATGTTTGTCAAGACTGTAAGCACAGTTCCTTTAGATTAAGAGCAAAAAGGGTCAAAAGGGAGGTGTTGGGTGGGGCGGTGGGTTAGGGTTATAAAGGAGCATTTCATGTCATTGTTTGTTCATTTGTTCATTTGTTCATTCATTTGTTTTTTGTAATGTATTGTGATGACTCCCAAAGTGCCAATAAAATATATTCACAAAAAATAAATAAAGGTGGACCTACGAAATACTGTTACATTATACAATTAAAGAATGCAATTTAAGTATAGTTTCATTAGTAAAACATTTATGTTTTACATATTAATTGCCTTTATTCTTGAAATGAGACATGAAAATCTTAAGGATGACAACTTTAAACAGGGTATTTTTGTAATAATAATCTAACTGCATATGCTGCATAAACTAATGATGTCAACAATGAAGTTGGTGAGTAAAATATTAACCAGCATGTCATTGGGCATGAGGGTTGTTAAAAATAAAAGAGAGAGAGAAATATAGGGGGAAAGCGTTTTGTATCAAGTATTCCAGTCCAGTTTTTTATGCTTTACAATTTGTAAAGACTAAGCAAGGTTTTACTACATCAGAGATAAAAAAGAAAATCTCTCAAAACAGCATTCCATTGAGTTTCCACCATGTTGCCAGCACCTTGAAGCAGTGCCACATAGAGCAAACATAGCAAAACACACAATGCATCCTACTAGTGAGTCAGATACTATGTCACAGGAAATATGTGGGTTGACTGTCAGTGCTTATCTTTGGATCGAGCTGAAACAAATCCCCTCTGTCCAACATCTGAGCTGAGCTTACACTCCTTGCCATACATAGCATGTCAATATTTAGGATCATCATGATCAGAAGTTCAGTTCAGGTCACCTTGAGTTCCATTCCACCTTCTGCTTGTCACTGAGGCTGAGGAAGCCAGGGCTGATGCGCATGGACATCCACGGGCTGACTTTGTGGAAGAGCCACTGGAAGGTGAGGAAACTGGTCACAGAGATGGTGAGGATAAGCTGGCTGAATGGGTCCATGGCCATCCAACCCCACTGTGGGAGGAGGGACAGACGTTGGGTAAAGGTTAGAAAGAAGACTTGTAAAGTTAGTCATACTTAAAAACATACCAAAAAATCATTAGGTATTAGTGATTATGTTTTCTTTTCAGATCAGCTAAATCACAGTTGGTGTATTTGGTGACAACAACTACAATGCAACTGAAAATCACAATTGTCAGTGGGGTGAGTTAAATTTTATTAACTTAGCTCCAGTAGGAGAGCTGCCACTGGCCTTTAAAAGAAAAGGTAGATAGGCAAAGTGTGGTAAACTACTAACTATCAATAATATTTTGACAGTAACTAGTCATCAACTTTACTCCATCAACTTCTTTACGTCTTCAGAACCTCTACTAAATACTTACAAACTGAATGGAAATGTATTGACTTGATTTTTTGACAATGATAAGCTTATGTGCTACTTACTTGGTTTATGTTACAGACAGAAGACAAAAGTATCAAGACATGCATGCTGAAACCAGTCATTGTGGTTTCAGCTCACACAGCTTCTAAACCCACAGACACCTTCTTTCTTAGGAAGCGCTACAACAAAAATGGAGATGTACATTTACATGACTATGCTGACTGAAGTGCTTTTCAACCCACTCTGCATTTGACCAATCAACACAATAACCATTTTACAGTGTCCTACTTTCCAACTTAAACAAGAGCCACAGTATGTGTACTGTAATTACATTCTGATGCAAAACCCAGTTTCCCTTAGTGTATTACAGGGCAGAGTGTATCTTCACATTAATAGAGGCACTATTACCGTGTGGCAATTTAATGACATTTCAGAGCTACTTACAAGGAGTAACTTGAACACAATGAAGATAATATAGTCAACGAATAATAACAAACCATGAATAAAATCAGAGTTATAATGTCACACTCTACCATTGTGAGAGATAAACATTTGGTGGAACACAAAGAGGGTGATTAATGTGAGACATGGTGATTTTAACACTGCATGGACTATTCAGTGACATCTTGAACTTTTGATAATTTTCAATCTTTTATAGTGGTTTTAACCAAGATCTTCTGCACCATATCCTGTCTACCCTGCTGATTAACATGCTTCAAGATTCTTTTGTGATTGAATTCTCTGTACTTGGGTTCATCATCATTTTCAAAAATGTAGGTGTACAGCAAATGTTGTACAGTGCTGTGCTCTCCACGAAATCAAAGCTGAATTAGCTTACAGTTGGGCCTGCATGAAAAATATAATAGTACTCATTTGTGAGAGCATCACTAAAGCTGCTCCATTATTCATATTGCATTAATTCCACAATGTTGAGATGGAAATTTTATAGAAACAAACTAAAGAGACCTTCTGTTATATTTAATAATAATGCAGGCTAAAACTGGATCATTTTGACAAAATGAAGTGTCATACTGTTTTTGACCAAAAGTTTTTAGACCCATTCAATTTTCTCACATTTTGTTATGTTGCAGCCTTGTGCTAAAATAATTTCAAAAATCCGTCATCAATCTGCATTCAATATCCCATAATGAGAAAGCAAAAAGATCATTTTTGAAAATTTTGCAACTTCATTAAAAAGGAAAAACTGAAATATCACAGTCACATAAGTACTCAGACCCTTTGTTATTGCACTTTGAAGTTGTCTGTGAATGTTCTCATTCGTCCAGGTCATAGTTATCTCTCTCTCAAATTAAATCGAAGGCAACTGGACTTGTATTTGTCTGTGGAAGACGTTTTGCCTCTTATCCAAGCGGCTTCATCAGTTCTTATCTATTGGTCTCTCTAGTCCGCACTAGTCTGACCAAGAAAGTGGAGTAGGACCCAGGTATTTAACCTCTTGTGGGTGGGTCCACCAAAGTACCTGTGAAAGTACTGGTTTCACCTGACCATTTTGCTCAAGGGCCTCAATTTCTCTTGATCATTTTTACACCTTGATTGGAGTCCACCTGTGTTAAATTAAATTGATTAGACATGATTTGGAAAGGCACACACTTGTCTATTTAAGGGCTCACAGCTGACAGTGCACATCATAGCAAAAATCAAGACATGAGGAGGAAGGAACTGCCTGCAGAGCTCAAAGACAGGACTGTGTTGACGCACGGATCTGGGGAATGCTACAAAAAAAAAAAAAAAAAAACATTCTGCTGCACTGAAGGTTCCCAAGAGCTGGTCTCCATAACTCCTAAATGAAATGAGTATTGAACAACCATGAGTCTTCCTAGAACTGGCCACTCGGCCAAACTGAGCAATCAGGGAAGAAAGGCCTTGGTAAGAGAGATGACCAAGAGATCCAAAGATCCTGTGTGGAGATGGGAGAAACTTCCAGAAGGGCAACCAATTCTAAGTGTCATGTATGATTTCCTCCAGGCATGACACTTATAATTGAGGCCAAACAGTTCAATCTTGGTTTCATCAGACCAGAGAATCTTGTTTACCAAAGTCTAGGAGTCCTTTAGCTACTTTTTTGCACTGAGGAGAGGCTTCTGTCTGGCCACTCTGCCATACAGCCTAGATTGGTGGAGTGCTGCAGTGATGGTTTTCCTTTTTCTTTTTTCTTTTTTTTTGTAGCTATCCCTAAATCTGTGCCTCATCACAATCCTGTCTCTGAGCTCTCTGAGCAATAACTTTGACCTCATGGATTGTTTTTTTCTCTTATATAAACAGGAGTGTGCCTTTCCAAATCATGTCCTATCAATTGAATTTACCACAGGTGGACTCCAATCAAGGTGTAGATCATCTCAAAGATGAAGAGAGCTGAGCTAAATTTCAAGTGTGATTGCAAACGGTCCGAATACTTTTCGTCAATGTGATATTTCCTTTTAATATATTTGCAAAACATTTCTAAAAATTCTGTTTCCACTTTGTCATTATGGGATACTGATATATATATTAAAATGAGGGATTTCTTTTATTTTAACTTAAGGCTGCAGCATAACAAAATGTGAAAGAATTTATGGGGTCTGAATAGTTCCTGAATGCACTGTATATTAAGAAAACTTGACAATATTTTCAAAATGCCTACTGGTGGAATTTCAAGACATACAAAAAAGTTACTTTTAATATGAACACACAAATAGAAATCAACATCAAATTAATATATTGAACAGCTGTACTACAGGAAATATTTCAGTTACTTTACTGGTATAACAGCTTTGCTGTAAGACGTCAGTCCTGTGGTGGAAAATGAGAGCATAGTATAAATGCTGATCAGCACAGGATGGTACAACAAAATCCATTTCCTATTTATACATGATTTACTTCAGTATCTAGGCCTTGAATTAACATAATGTGCAGTAAAAACATGCATTATGCTCTAAAGCCATTGTTAAATAAAAAAAAAACTATCATGTCTATATTTGGATCAAAAGTGTGTGTCTTCTATATGACAACAAAGTTCCAAAATTAGCAGCTCTACTCATACTCTCACACGCTGGCTTGTAGCCAGTAAATGTATGTCAGTGACAGAGGTCCATTGCAACCGCTGAGTCCACACCACTGAGCTGTTTTATGAGTGTTGCATTAAGCTATTTGCATATTGGCAAATTTGACTGTTCCAGCCCTTGGTAAGAGGTCAAGTCTGTTAACTTTGGAGACATATTTACATCTCCCAAGTAAGAGAACAGGGTATCCTCCAGCACAGTCATACAAAAAACAAACATCTCACTCCCTGGAGCTCTGGCTTTGGTGATTTTATACCTGCCTTTGTTCCTGCGTTGTGCCAAAGAAATGCTAGAGGACTAACAGTGTGCCTCATGGAAACACTGTAAACAATAAGAAGCCACCAGGGAACTGAAAGGCCAATTCCACAGAGCCCTCTCCTCTTGCCTGCCTGTAATACATTAGTGGGCAGTGTGCTCCAGTACTTAAACACAGCATGCTGCAAGGCAGAAAGACTTTTTGTTATTATAGGGACACTTCAAGAAACCATAAGGTGATTTTGACTCGGTAGACATCTGGGTATCTGACTAATGCTACTCTCTGTCATGCTTACAAAACACGTGGATCTGTTTCAGATACACACATACATGTTTGCGTCCGGTAAGTGCCTTACAGGACACTGCTGCCAAGGGCAAATGGTTACAGAAGTTGACTGAAGTCCAGGCTACAGAAAGGAAACAGCTGAAAAACCATGGCAAACAACACTACAAGTGTATATAGCCTGTCTCATAAACATCTGCTTTTTAACAAACACATCTGTGGAGTTTAGTGTGTTTCTTCTGCAAAGATTTATCTATTTAAAACCCTGTAGAATGAACTGTGAATCGAGTTCAAATGAAAGCTGAATAGGAGACAGTGGTTGTGTCAAGGGAAATCGCAAAACAAGATTTTGAGATAAAAGACAGAAATCTGCTAATGTACTTCCTGACACAATAGCCTTGTGCTGATAAAAAAAATAAAAAAATAAAAAAGTGACTGGAACTAACCTCCAATCAAAAGTCAATTATTATGAAAAACACATTTTCCCTTTGCTACAACATACTGTACTAATAAGACATAAATTTTGGTGTAACAACGCGGAAAGAATGAGTTTACAAGAATTAACCCCAAAGTAACTCCATGGTTTAAGAGCAGTGTTATTCAGAGCCCCACTGATTTATTAATGTCTCAACCATTTGGATAGACAATGACATGCTTGGGCCCGCCTCAAAGATAGACCCGGTCTAAATAATGTGGAAAGTGATGTCTATTTCCACTGCACAAGAATGAAACTGGTTACTGCTGGCAAGATTGTTTTGCCAGCTTCGCATGTTCCTATAACGACTAGCACGTACGGCTAAAATGCGCTTGCGTAAGACGGGTGGACCTTTTTTTAAGGGGGAAACGATAGCGTTTGATAGCCTCACGAGAAAATTGTTATGTGCATCACCGGACAGCACTTTACAGATGCTGTCCAGAATCGATTGCCCACAGCACACGCTATCAACCGAGTCATAGAGGTATTCTCATTTTATTTACAGCAAAAATTACCGTATAGAATTGCACACACACGAGGCCAATTCACGCCGCATTGCCTGGTCAGCTGCTATAATGTGTTGAGGGAAAATAACACTGGCCTGGTGGTGTTTCTGTGTACCAGCCGACAAGAGAAAATAAAAGATCCCAAATGTACTTACCTTATGACTTTCATTAAGATGATCTCACTCTCACTCTATCAAGTGGTTATGGTTTCCAGGGTCGCTCGCAAAGCCGTGTATGTTGAGTCAAAGCCACAGCCATATCGAGTCATTTTTGATCAACAAGACAGCCCGCCTCCTGCTCCACGCACACGCTATAAACTTGGGGGAGATGCCGAAGGGCTGCTGTTCCGTGCCTCTGCCACCTTTGCAGTGTTTACCGAGAATCCCATCCGACATGAAACGTGCATAATTGCAGAGGTGCGGATCATGAAGCTCGACGCTCGATTACAGGAACGATATGGGGTGTTGGTGTATGAGCTCTCTCCCTCTCCCCCCATAGGGATCAAATTTCAGCTGAATTCTTAAAGACACACACACAAACACACACACACGCACACACACGCAAGCACACTACCACAGTGTTCTGCCCAAGAACACTCACGGAGTCTATTTATAGCCAAGGCTTGTTGAACTGGTCCAGGATAAATCAGACAAGATAGCCAGTACAGCAAACTGCAGCCATGGCCTACTGGTCTTAATATCAATGAATCCGTTAAGACTTTTAAATCTATCCATTAACTGAATCTTTAAAGCTTTAAATTAATCTCATTTTGCAATATCCTGCACTCTTTAAAATGCCAAATGGCATAATGGGTGGCCCAAAGGGAAATGTACACGGTCATTAGGCTACAACTGGTGACAAAACATCAGAGGCTGTAAATATGGTCTGCTTACTCCTTCTTATTCAATGACAGGATACATAGCCCATCCACTCAGCAAAAAAGAAACAAAAGATAAAAACATATCAGGACAGACAATTACAAAGGGAAGTATTAGACAACATACAGCAGCAATTTCAACTCCCAGTGTTAAGCCACTGATGTTATGGTCCGTGTCCTTCCCCAGATGTCGGCTGTAGTGCATAGTCCACCAATACCCATTACCAGAGGGCAGATGACAGATTAAATGACCAGTGGGTGCAATATAAAATTACATCTCCTATAAATTGAATGAAGCAAAGCCAGTGTATTTAAAGCACAGACATGTGGTTAGGTCTACATCATTGTGACCTGATTTGCAGTTGTGCAGACTACTGGTTTAGGGTGTCACTGATATATGCATAATATGATTCCACCAGGCCCTAATTTTTTCACTGTAAAAACAATCAGCTATCCCCCTTATATCCTTGTCCTCAACCTTCTCACTGCTGGAAAACATTAACTCTGTTAGTGTTTTTTAAAAAGCATTTGTGGACAGTGATTTCATAAGTTAAACATATAGGTTGTTTGTAACAGACATGTTTGTCAGGTCTTGCAGCTGTAATGAACAAACTCGCTGGGCAAAACCCAACAAAAGAGGCTCTTCATGTTACTTGAGTACATTGTTAACAATAGCTAATATTAGCTTACCACCTATGCTAGTAGCCCAGTAACTCCATGGTTTGAGCTACATTTTGTCAACTGCATAGCTGTGACCATTGACCTGCCTGTTACAATGAAGCAGAGGATTTTTTTGTGGCAGCTTCAGTCTGAAGTGCTGTGACTTTTCTGGTATGCACTTTCACTCGCAACCTGTTTGCACTTTCTCTTGTTCAGGTGTGCTGTTTTTTTTTACGTTACCAAACAGCCTTGCTGGAGTGTTCTCTTCTCGCATCTTCTGACAGCAGTGTCGATAGCTAACAAACATCATGGGTATGGGCTTGCTATTTGTGAAGTGCAGTTTCCTACTGAGTTTTAGTTTTTGTGTTTTGTGCTACAACACATGGACAGCTGATAGGAGCTAAATAAAATTTGGGTAGCTGAGTGTGTCTCCCTGCAGCTACAGCTTTACAAGTAGTTAGGACAATTAAGCTTACCTGTCATTATGCTCACCATTTGCAAGTCCTGCTTGAAGCCCTCTCAACCCAGAAGATGGCCATGACACATGCCCTTCGTGTCTGGGCATCAAACACTTAAGACAGGGACTGACATAAAATGTCTGTAGGCTAATAAATTGCAGCTGCATGCCACTTCCAGAGAGGGCTGCTAGGTTTGAAAATGCCAGTACTATTACTGACTTGTATTCAGCTCTCCTTTGGGGTTTAAGCCCACAGGTCAACTAAAGTGAAGCTTCAGGGAACCTTTTTGCTGACAAGGAAATCAGATAACACGAAGAACAGGAGAAAGAGTTCTCCCTCCCTTCAGTGCTGCCACTGTGGAGACAGCTCCCTCTAGTGCTTTCTTTAGATGAGCTCCTCAGCCCACTACTACTATATCTATTTTTATAATTTATAAGTCTGTGCCATATATTGATCAACTTTGAAGGGGCTGGTCAGACCCAAACGCCACTTGCTGAGCGACTGCACAGCTTTTGCTGCCATGCAGGTTGCTGCCAAGTATGGCCTGGACCTAATACCAGCCACAGACCTCTCTATTGCTTCTCTGATAGTATCTCCAGATGAGACCTTTAGACTAGTTGCTCACCGTCAACGTCCTTAGTGGTGGAGAATAACTTTGATGACCTACTGATCAAGAGCTATGATATAGCATCTCAGATGGGAAAGCACCTTTTCCCACCTTGCTGGAGTTGATGCCTCGGTCCAGACCCTGAGTGATGCATTGCTTAAAACTTTGCATTTATGACTAGAGGAGACTGTTTTTCTTGACCTTGGACTACTGCCAAGTGGGGCTTGCTCAGTCCCCTTGTCAGATGGGTGCAGGACTTTGCACACGTCATCCCAGGCCAGATGTGGTCATATATGACCCAAACCACCTCTGAATGTGGTCTAAGTGATCAGATCTCAAATGCGTCCTCAATGTATCTTCGCCTAAGACACATGTTACTGCCAGATCTGAACAGGGCCTATTTTGCCTAAAGTTGTTCTCATTGCTTTTTCTTTTAGTTACCAGTGGTAGGAGTGCTGCTGCTGGTTTCAAAATGGTCTCATCAGCCACGATACAGTATATTGTCCCTTTTTTGTTCAGTTTATTAGGTTAGTTTGCCTTTGTTCAGTCAGTTTGGCCTGTTCAATTATAGTCATGGTTTACTAAGCTAGTATTGACTGAATCTAGTTATGTTTATCTGAAATTTTGTAAATTGTTATATTCTTCATTTTGAGTAAATAAAGAAAATATTACCTGTGATCCCTCTTCTCTGCCAACTTGTCACATAAAGTATACCTGTGATCAGTCTGTTGTGAAGACTATACTTAATTTGAAAACATCCTCTTTGTATGCCAACAAGTGGATGCTCATTTCCAGTTGGTGCAAGGATCAATGTTTGTTGATGAGGTTTGAGCCAGTGTGTTGTTCAGTCCCTGTATTGCTTATGTACAAATGTTGTTGGATCAGGGCCTCTCTGTCTCTCTTGATCTTAAGATGTATTTTGCTGTCATCTCTAAATGTTTTAGATGTCAATCAGACTGTAGGGTCTCATTCTCTGGTAGGTTGTATTCTGAAAGTGGCCGAGCGTTTGCACTTACCACATGTTTTGTGTGTGTGTGTGTGTGTGTGTGTGTGTGTGTGCGCCTTCATGGTACCTGCCTATTGTCCTACAGGCATTGTAATGTAGGCAGTATTGCATCTGCAAAGTGGGTAAGTGAACTCTGTGCCTTGTCTATTGTCAGTAAGTGTTTGCATTGGAAGTGGCCAAACTCATCCCTTCTTCCTAAGAGGCTTTCAGGTTTTCACAGCAATCAGCCTATCACTATGATAGCTTTCACTGTGCAACCAATGCCAGATGAGCTACGTCCTGCTGCTGATATAATATGTCCTGTTGGACCCTGAGAACATATATAAATGTTTCAGCTGGGTTCCATAAGTCTGATGCATTGTTTGTTTGTTATGGAGGGCACCAGAAGGGTTGTGACTTGTCAAAACAGAGACTCTGCAACTTGGTTGTAGATACTATATCCCAGGCTTACAGACTTAAGAGTCTGCAAGACCCCCATGTTAACTGTGATTCAACCAGGGGTGTCTCCACCTCTTGGCCCACTCTGAAGCCTGTTCCATTGAGTTCATGCTGCAGCTACTTGAGCTTCATTGTGTACATACTCCCACTACTACAGGCTAAACATGGCTGCTTCTCATTCTGTGGCAACAACTGTCTTGTCTCTTGTCTGCAACTGCAACACGGTCGATGTTGATTCCTTGTGATTTTGTGTGTATATACTGTATCTGGTAGCCTGTAAGAATGAAATAGAACAAGAGTTACTCTGTGGGGAAACAAGTGCTGGTATTAGCTTGCTCATGTCACTGAGGTCACATGTGACTTTGTTAGTATAAGGTCCCCTAGGACGCTTGTGATGCACTTACTCAAGTGGCTGCATCGTTTTGTATTGCTTGGTAGAGATACAGCAAATCTTTGCTCTCTGCATAAAATAACAAAACCCATTTGGACAATATACATGGCCCTGTGTTAAGAGTTAAGAGGTGGTACATCTTAATGAAAATCTCAGTCTCAATAACATGGTTGATGTAGCAAACAGGAGGATCATTTTCTATGTCCTGAACTCCTTTTCTCACACCATGCACATGACAGGGGACGGTGTTCACTACCTGTCAAATTAAATTGTGGACTGCAGTATTTATGTCTGTGTCTTGGGTTCAGTTTATTATGGTAAGATAAAATTTTATAAAACCCCAATATTAACACACAAGTGAGAAATTAGTGTGGTGTAAGCTATGTTTAAGGCATTGACACACAATTAACAATGAGCTAACTGTTCTAACTTAAATTCTTCTTCACAAGTTTCCAAGTATATTGAATACATTTGCCAGAATTTTTGCATAAAATATAAGGATTTAGAAAACGTTGTCAGTGCCAACAGTCAGAGGAGGAGGAGAACCAGGAGACTGAAATCCGAGTGCCTCTGTCAACATACAAAGTTATTGATCAGTGTTTGTAAATAATTATCCCCGACTTCCTCAATGGCTGACTTGAATATACATGTACTGATTCCTATGAAAAAATTGCAACAAACAGCACCTGTTCACCTATTTCATGGCCTCCCAGATTTATTTTGTGCTCTGAATGCAATATTGGTAAAATGTAAGCTACTCAGTACAACCAGAAGGGGTCATTAAGCAGCCACTACAAATCACACACAGAAATTTCCTATCAGGCCAATAGAATTAAAAGGTAGCAATAGCTTGTTAAGTGAAAGGTATAGTGGTATTATTCGTTGGTTAATGTAGAAATTCGACCGTCACCTGCTGCTGAAGAGATGGTTGTACATTTGACCCTCTAGTTAAAATGTAACAGCCACGTCACATGGTAGCACCTTGGAGCACTGTAGTTTATTTTGGTACACAGGGAGGCAGTGTGCTCTTAGAGAAA